ATTTTGGAAAACCAAAATCACCGATGAGATGCTATTAAAGACTGTCAGCCTTATGGAATATCGAGTCTCCTGAAAAATTCGCTGTTCTTTAACGCCCTCTAGAATAGAGATCGAAATAAGAAATATAACAGAAGCCAAATCAGTGAACCATATCTTCATGGAATCTTACATGGGATGATGCGCAAGAATGAACATAATTGCTCTTTTCGAAGCAGCATCGACGGGGTAATTGCAAGACATATCTTGTCGTTGGAAGCAGTTACAGTGGACACCGATGTCGATGCGGTGGATAAATTAGTGTTCTACACTTATTTACACTTACACTGTTAGATTCATTTACCGACGGTACCAGATCACCATCTTACGGAGCTTGATGAAAACGACGCAGTTTTCTGTTTTTCTTAGTTTCTCTGCTATCCATTGGATGGCACTGACAGTTCTGTTTTTTATGGATTGTTCCAGTTACATCACTTATTTTCTTTATAATTTAAAAATATTTAATAACATTGATCATATATTTCATTTATTTTAGTTTCATGATCGGTACAATTCATGTTATAAAAAGTTACAGAGTTTCGAGATGTCATAGCGTATTAATTGAGTGAGGTAAAGTTTGTAAAAAGTTTAAATAAATTAATTGATTAAATTAAATTGCGATAATAAATCATGTTGAATTATAAATAATATATCATATAGTATCGAGAAGTGTTGAAATAATATTTTAGTAATTATAAATACGCCACAAATTATATAGACAATATGCGGTAGAGTTGCGTGGTTTTATATGCCGTTCATGTTTGTGTTTCAGCTGTTGAGTCGTACACTTGTGCGGCTCGTGAGTTGGGATACGAACTGTTCCCTATATTTTTTGCTGACGAAACGTTATAATTGGAAAATGACAGGATTTACAGAAAGTGCACTTGTGAAAAGATTAATGGACTTAAATCCTTCTCAACAAAGTATTCAAACACTTTCTCTTTGGTTAATTCATCACAGAAAACATCATCCGACCATCGTGAAAGTCTGGTTTAAAGAGATGTGTAAAGGTACGTGACAATTTTCGTAAGTATATCTTTATTCATATGTTTTATCTTCGAAACTCTGCATTTCGAATATTATGTCGCCGCAGATTTATTTTAAAAGACATCCAGGCGTAACAAAGACGAAGTAATTTTTGTCAAAATTTCTAGGTTAACTTCTGTATTGGATCTTCACTACGTAATTGTAGACATATTTCTTTTAACAACTTGTCAACTGCAAAATTGCAGTTAAATTGCTAGTAATTATCTGTTGTAGCCAAAATTGCATTTTACACAATATTATACTTGACACAAAGCTAATTCAGTAATATGTTTTCACCTATAATTGTAAAACAAATTTATTGTTTATAGTTTTATTCATCGACTTTTTTAAAATCTTCATTCATTTTTATCATTTATTTGTTATAAAATCATCCAAATAGTAGTAATAACAATAGTGACAATAATAATGATAATTAAACATACCTATGTAAATATATTGTTTATATTGGCTTATAATCAATAAAATTTAGTCAATTATATTTAATTGATTGTTAAACGCTTTTTTTTTCAACATAGATAAAATACAAATCAATGTGTTCTGAAATTGTTTAGAGTATATTAAGTTATATATTTTTGCAGTAAAGGATAATCGTAAACTAATGTTCATGTATCTGGCAAATGATGTTATTCAAAACAGTAAAAAGAAAGGGCCTGAATTTGGAAAAGAATTTGAAACAGTGTTACCAAAAGCTTTTGAACATATGAAAGGATTTGATGAAAAGACAAGAGAAAGATTAAATAGGCTTCTTCAGATTTGGGAAGAGAGAGGAGTTTATGATAAGGCACAAATTTCAGAATTTAAAGCTGCTTTTACAGATACATCAAAAGATTCAGCAACACCACCTCCAAAAAAGAAACTTAAGAATGACATAGAGAAAGTAAAGGTAATAAAGATATTAATTTTAAATAGCACAGAATATAATATTTGTAATTGATTAATATATTTATTTTATATTGTAGAAGGAGAAAAAGGAGAGGAAAAAGTCAGAGACTGAAATTGAAGTGGATGGAACCAAAGAGCTACATGTAACTTTAAGTCCTCGTACTCCTGCTGGAGATCCACCAGAAACAGAGGAACTCATCAAAGCCTTAATGGTTAATACCATTTATAAAACCATCAAAAATTCGGAATATGTATCGTTAGCAATAAACTATCTTATATATAGAAAAATATATGTTGAATCCATAAGGCATATTGGCAGGCATATTTATACAGTTTGATATATCCATCCCCAACAGTAATTTTATTCTATTTACGATGATTTGTTTTACTCTTAATGTGTTTTACGATATATTATTTCCGATTTTACTCTAAATTTTTATATTCGTTGTCTACTATCAAAGCAGGAAAATTATTACATTAATTTTTTGTACATGTACATAATAAGTAGTTAGTTTATAATTTTATTTAAGCGAATTAATGTTTTTATACGATGAGGTTTCTTTTTCTTTTACTCAAGTTTTACTTAAATATCGTATATGAAAAGTATAAGATATCTGTACATAAAAATATCGAAGGCAAGCACTAAAACGCCTTCTTTATTTCAGGATTTGGAAAATACAGCATCCTCGGATGCTGGCGTTAGAGAACGTATCGCATCTTTACCACCGGAAGTTTCTGAAGTTTCGCTTCTTGCAAACCTAGCTGATCGAGCAGCTGCAGATCAATTGAGTGTTGCAGTAAATGAAGCTGCTGCACTGTTAGCAGACTACAATGGACGGTTGCAAGCAGAAATGGAAGATAGAAGAAGATTATTAACTATGCTTAGAGATTATACTTTGGCACAAAGGCAATTACTTCAACAGGCACAATCAACTTTAGAAGTATGACTATTTTTTACTCTTTTTACTCTGCACTTATTAAACATATAACTTTTACTGAATATGGATGTACTGATATGTTGCAGGATTATAAGGAGAAGCTTAAAAAAGTGTGTGCAGTCCGATCTGAAGTAAAGTCACATATTTCCAATTTGCCTGATTTAACACAGTTACCCGATGTCACAGGTGGTTTAGCACCTCTTCCTTCAGCTGGTGATTTATTTTCTATGCACTAGCACGTGAGTTTAAAGAGCACGATCATTGAATTATTTTTGAGTTCCACGCATAAATGAATACAACCATGCTATGTTAGCTTGGTTTTTGTGATGAAATATATAATAACTTTCTACTTTTCAATATTTAATATATTAAATATTGATTAAACTCCTCGCATGTAATTACAAATTATGAAAGGAAAAAGTACTGATAAGTGATAATGTAAAATCATTTTACACAACACTTTAATAACACGAAGATACAAATGAACCAAGTAATTATATACAATTCAAAATTCTTGAAACTGTTGTGCCAGTAATTTTCAGTGTTGTAGTTTTGTTGAAAATTACTCATTTGAGTATGTTTTTTGTTTCTCCAAGTGAAAGTTAATAAAGAACATATGTAAATTCTGTTTTATGATTGGACTTCAAAATGAAAATTTATAGAAATTTTTGTTTAAAAGTAATAATGTTCCTGTTTTGTCATATGCACAATGCATAAGGAACTTAAAACATTGTACAATTTCTTACAGTCTCATTTTATACTAATAAACAAATGTATTTAATCGACAAATAATTTTTGAATACGTTACTCACAGAGTTTATTATAAAAAAAGTAAAACGTATAATACATTCTAATAAGTATATAATAATTTCAAATATTGAATTACTTTAACTTAATTGTTATGAAGAATTCCAGTAGAAGGAAAAAAAATATATCTCATATACTAAAAATTTTTAGTTATCCGATCTTTATTTGCAAGCAGTGCTTAGAATGTTGCACTTACAACATTTGGTAATCATCCCTTGTATATATATATATTGTAGGTAATATAATTCTTGGACTGAGAAACATGTCTTAAAATATAACGTTACAGTTGATTTTGAACAAATACTGACGTGCGTAAATAAATAATATTGTATATGTAATATGGTACGAAGTAAATAGCGTGATTGTGCATTGGCGAAATTGTAATAATATGCAAAATATTAATACGAATAAATGTTTTGATCGTTATAATAGTATCTTTTATTTAACGTTGCACTTCAATGTTTGATACTAATGAAGAAGAAAAAGAAAATAGAATAGACAGTTAAAAGTAAAAGGTATAATATTCATTAAACTTTTTGATTATCATTTAGAAAAATAAATTTGTATTATTTGTTACTTTTTTATTTAATTATTTGTACATAAAATAATATGATTGTTTTAAACCCTTAATTGTTTTCATACAATAAAAAGTAAACAATAGAACGGTACTAGTGTGATAAAAAATTTTAATTAAAGTTTGTCACAATGAATTGTATCTGTTGAAAGTATTTTAACAAATTTATTTTACATTACTCATATATACTATTATATTGTATATATTTATAAGATTGGAAGAATTTAATGAAACGCTCATATTTGTAATTGTTTTTTTTCCACGTACGATTTAAACTAATCAAATTATATTATACAAAAATTTGAACTTGTGCTAACTCTTGGCAAGTATATTTGGCAAGAGCTGTATTGTACATTTCTTTGATTGAGGGACAAATATTTGTCATTGTTTTATAGGTATTTCTATCACAATATATACAATAAATAAAAACAACGAATATTTAGCACTTCTTTAAAATATTTTCATAACTAAACATAATGCAATTTAGAAAGTTTCAGTACTGGCATTCCACTTTCAATGTAATATTAACACTTTAAATAATATCAAATAATTGAAAGTTTACATATTTTAACATGATTATTAATTTTTTATTCTAAGGACAAAGAAAACGAAATATTTTGAATAGTATACTAACACTGAAAGTGGGTTTCATACATACATTCTTTGTGGACATCTTGTACAGTCATTTAAAAAGGTAACGTAAATTTAAGATTGTCTTTTTTTTAAGTTTCGTGTGGATGTGGTGGTCTTGTTGGTTTAAGAATAAGCTTTCCAGTATCATCACAACTCATATTAAAGTCACCAAGAACACTTCTAGCTCTTTGAGTTATGATACTTGGTGCTATAACACGTCTATGAACTCCCATCATAAATAATATCACTAAAATAAGATGATAATATTCTTTCTGTACATTAATAAAAGCTGTGTAGTATTATACTTACCTAAAATAATACTAGCAATTGCAAAAAACGGATGGTTACATAAGCTCTGTGTGAATGATACAGCAGGTGTATTTGGATCTGTCAACCAATGCCATGCACCCACAGCAGTACAAACAGAGATAAAACCGAGTAGCACTGTAAATAATATTAATTATGATAATCCTAAAATTATTTTTAAATTAATACAGTAAGAAATTTAAGTAAAGAAACGATAGAAAATATATGTTATTATTTTAGAAGATAAATTTTTGAATGCACAAAATTGATACATAACACGTACAGATAAATATAAAAACGTACTTCTCCATCGCAAAGTAGCTGGTTGCAAACTCGCAATAACTTCAGTAAGACGTCTTTCGAAAGCTTTTAGGTCTGGAAATAATGAAAAAAAGAGATAACCTTAAAATTATTCACTCTTATCGCCGTATACATCGTCAGTACAGGACTATATCTTTCGCTACATCAATTAATAAATATTTTCAATTAATAGATTCTTCTTTTTACCTTCACAAACTGTTTGATCTAAAGACATTTTTTATTTATGCACATATACGTAACATAAATGCCCCGCAAATTGCAAAACAAACAATCCCGGTATGTATTTACATACTTACATACCTACATAATACATACATAACAATAAATTATTATCGTTAAAGCAATGAATTATAAGATACGTGTAGCTTATTTATAAATTTATTAAATACAACAATTACATAGAATACTATAAATATTTCGGAAGCGCTATCAATCTGAAACAGATGAGTTGACATTTGACATAAGGTAATTAACATACTTCTAGTTTTTGGCAGACTTCTTTTATTAGCTTGTGAAATGAATGTGTAAACGCGTAATTTATTGATAACCAAGTTTTAGCTGCATTCAGTTTCAAAATTAAAACGTTAATTAATAATTTAATTGCAAAATTAAATCGCCCGCAAAAGTAGTTCCAAATTCGATCTCTGCGCCATCTATTTGAAAACAGCGGAAACTTTTCAACACCTTATGATAACTTAAATAAACTAACGGCGCCACCTATTAAAGAGCAGGGGAAACTACTTACCAACTTCAATAGCCGGTATCGGTCGCCAAGGTGTTGAATAGTTTCCGGCGTCTTTTAATAGATGGCGCAATGGTTCAATTTCTAATTAGTTTACTGACCATTAGTTTTTAAAAGTATTATACACATTAGGAAGTTCTAATAACTTACACTGCTGGTATGATGTGGTATGATGTTTAATAAATGTTCTTCGTTCATTTTAATTTATTATTATCAAATAAAAAAGTACAAACAGTATGTATGAGTACTTAAGGGTTACTTTGTGACTTCTAATTACAACAAAGGAATACATTAGGAAAGAGTTAATAAATATAGGGCAAAGATAAATGGTAAACGATGTATTTTCTAAACTTACTTTATAATTTCATGCAAGTATTCTGTTATTTTTAGGATATATTTGAAGTAGCCGCCATACGTCTACTTGCTGGAACGTGAATCGCGCCATCATATTATTTTGTAATTGAAGAGGACATAGCAGAAAATTTGGTGAAAATTGGATACGTGGTAAAGGTACAATGGTTATCGAGGAGAAAAGTAGCGAATCATTAAAAGAAAATCAAGTAAACGATGACGCAGTATCGAAGGAACAAAAGACATACTCCTTGGAAAGTATCCTTTTTAAAAAGTTTGTTAAACACAGACAGAGTTCTGTCAATGCCATATGTCATTTTCTAACCTGTTTCTATCATGATGCTCTTTAAAATCAAATACATTTTTTCCTGCCTAAAATTATGGCAAGAACATTTGTTTACGTAAATCTACCTATCATTAAACTATTGTAGAAAATTTTTTTTAAAAACTGCGGTAATATTTTAATTTATGTTTATACAAATATTAATATTTATTGCCATATTAATGGAATATTGTTATACGTGATTAATTGACGATCTTATTTTAATATCTGAGACACCTGTATAAATTGTATGAACACTTAATAGTCATATAGTTTTAAAAATAATAAAAGAAGCTCAACAACAACATGGGTTAAGACATGGTGATTACCAACGGTATCGTGGTTACTGCTCCAGAAGGCTCAGACGCCTAAGGAAAGTATTAAAAGTTCCACAAGGAGACAGACGGCATTTCAAGAGAAAAGACATAACATCTATAATGGTTACCGATGATAAATTTCTACAAGTTCCTTTGATGATGGCAGAGAGAGCTTGGAGTTATGCCATGCAACTACGTCAGGAATCTAACACAGAACCAAGAAAAAAGTTTCATTTGATATCCAAGTTGAGAAAAGCTGCTACATATTCTTTACAGTTACAAGAGTTAATAGAGGTAAGCCAAATCTTGATATACCAACCAATATTGAGCTTTCATTATTAACAATTATTACAGAATATCAATTGCGATGCAAGAACAAAGCTAGAAGCTCAAGCTTACACAGCTTGGATACACGGTTCCCTACACTTTGAATTACAACTATGGAAGAAAGCTATGGAGAATTTAAAAAAGGCTCAGGTAGTGTATGGAAAGCTGGCTTCCGCGCTACCGGAATCCGAACAAGTAATGTACAACGCGCGTGTTGAGGAACTCAATCCTAGCCTTAGATACTGTGCCTATAATATTGGAGATACCACTGCCATAGACGATCTGATGCAAATGAGAGGTCAACTGAGTGGAGAGTTACTAGCTAGTTTAGATTCGCTTATAGCACAAACACGAGAGAAGCAAACAAGCGCAGAGGAAGTAACCTGGCGTGGAAAATCGTGCGGTGTAGTCCCATCAAGAGCGGCGGGTCTTTTGATTGCCGATTCTAGATTAAATCAAACGTTGGAGAAAGCAGCTACAAATCAAACTAAGATCGATCTGCTGGAAGCGCACTTGATAGACTGTAAAGATGCGATTTCAGCTGTACGAGATCACTTCAAGAATGAATTGAAGAGCAAAGATAACGATAAACTATCACCATCACAGCATTTAATTACTTACTTACAATATATCAGATTATCCCGTACTTTAGAGAGAAACTTAGCTTTGATAAAAGTAGCTGAAGAATCTGCAAAAGCAAAACCACAAGATATCGTACGATTGTACGAAGCAACTCTTCACAATCTTGTAGAAATATCACAATTACAAGAGGACGAGGAATTTCTGCGTGAACAGGAAGCTAAGACCAGAGGTTACAGAGCCTTTAGATGTTACTACATGGCGCAATCTTTGGCGAATCTTCATCGATGGCGAGAAGCGATGGCTTTGTATCAAAGATCTGCACGACATGTAAAAGATGCGTTAGAATATGGTAAAGCACTTCCAAAATCATTGAGAAATACTCTAGAGAAATTGGAGACTTCTATAGAAGGTGCCAAGTATGCGGCACACGCGCACAGCGTTTTAGAAGAAGGACAAGAAGAGGAATCTGGAGTGAATAAATATACAAAATCGAAGAAACCACTGTATGAACGTCTACACGAGTACAGAGAGGATTCTGCACTTCTTACCAAGCAACCTAACGTTTTTAAATTACCACCATCTATGCAACCTATTCCTTGCAAACCACTGTTTTTCGATTTAGCTTTCAATATGGTCGAATTTCCAGATTTGAGCGAAAAACTCGGTGATCAAGCTAAGAAAACTGGTCAAGCTGGTCTTACAGGATTTGTTAAAGGTCTTTGGGGTTGGGGAAATAAATAAAACGAGGACATTGTGACTATAATACATTTGACTTCAAATATTACCGCACCCAGTGCGATAATGTATTTTTACCGGTATTCAATCACTTCGGTGAGAATCAAGTTTTCACTTATAACAACAGCAATATTGAATAACAGAAATAAAAACATATTATTAATATATGTTTGATGTTTCGTTTATTTTCGCCTCTACAATTTTGAAAATAAATTTGAATTCAAAAAGAAACAAGTTGAATACGCATGGTCAATGCTCTAACATGCGCAGAATGAACGAAAATTCGTCCCTACTCGTATGACAGCATATGACAGCTATGGTCTCTTGTTGAAAGAATAATGCAATATTTTTTTCTTCTATAATTAAGAATATTTTCACGTAACAATTTTTAAATAATAATAGAAAATCAACTTAGGTTAAGGTAAGTCTATATTAATTGTAATCAAAGGGTTAATTGGTTATAAAGGTTATAAACATACACATGCATACCAGTGGATTTCGTTATAAAAAAATAGATTATCTTATCAAAATATATTTGAAAAATTTACTTTTTATTGTATCAAATTTTGTGACAATGTAGCAAGATTAAAATTAGTATTATATCATTTAAAAGATGAACAAATTGTACACTGATTGTCTTTTTCTTGATAGTTAACCTAGTAATTCATTTATTACTTGTGTGTCAAGGGTTCTGTAAATTCGTAATTTTACTAAAACCAAAATGAGACAACAAATACTTGACGCAAAAAACAGTTCTCATAATTCTGGAGAAGCTGATGAATGTCTGTTTGAATATTTACATACAGAAATGGTTAACTATGCTCTAAGCAAAACTTGTAAAAATAAGGTAACTATTCATAAATTATAATAAACTTGATTAAAATTATGCTTGTTTGTAATATTTGAAATATCAAGGAAGGGGAAGAAGAATTGTCTCGACTTGAATGGATGGGATTCAGTGTTGGCTACAGAATCATTGAACGATTGACACGGGAATGGAATCGATTTAAAGATGAATTGGATATGATCAAATTTATCTGTACAGATTTTTGGTCTAGTTTATATCATAAACAAATCGATAATTTAAGAACAAATCATCATGGTGTATATGTATTACAAGATAACTCATTTAGATTATTAGAAAAAATAGGTACTAGTAATAATAAACAATATCTTCAAGAAAGTCCACGGTTATTAGCATTTACTTGTGGACTTCTAAGAGGAAGTTTAGCAAATCTTGGAATTATTAGTACTGTTAATGCGGAAATTTCTACATTACCAAGTTGTAAATTTCATGTACAAGTACAACGAATTTAATGTTAATAAACCTGATATATTTAATCATAAAAAATTATACAACAAAATAATAAATACATTTTATTCGTATATTATAATTTGTATAATTCAGTATAAGGTTCATATAATTGTACATAAGTATTACTTATACTGTAGCAATCCCTTACATTATGTATTTGTACTTTTATGTTAACATAATCTGCCTAAACGTAGAATACAACTGAATCTGTGTTTAACATACAAGTTCTCGCATAAAATTATTTTTTTCTTATTAATAAAGATAATAAAAAATGGAAATGCGAATAACATTGTATTTTGTATTTTAACGATTTAATTGGTTGAATTATTCAATGTTAATTTATCGTTATTTTTTGTAATAAAATTTAGAATGTGAAATTGGTTTACAATCCCAACAAAAGCATCATCGCCTTCGTCATCTAAAATAATCGCGTGTGATTCTTTTTCAAGAATACGCGATAATAAACCAATAGTTGTTGAAGGTTTAACTTTCACATATTGTTTAATCATAGTCTTTTCTACAAAATCTGTGTGTTTTACTGTACCAGATATTAAATTCGACATGAGTTTATTCAAGATAATAACACCTTTTACATGTACATTGTCATTGCTAATGACTAATGGCTGAGATTTTCTATCTTCAAAAATATGAATAGCTTCGTGACACGTTATCGTATTTTCCTTTAACAATAGTGGTTTATCAAATGATAAATTTGAAACTTGCATATTCCACCACCAATTGTTCACCTCATTGTTACATTTAGGTTCCTATAATTTATTATAACAATGTATTAGTCAAGTGTGTAATATTTACGTTCTACATACAACAAAATAAAATAATTTACCAAGAATCCTCTAACTTCCATCCAATGATCAGACACAAATTTAGTCAAATAATTTCGTATTCCATCAGGCAAAATAAGAACGATACGTTTTCCTTCGGGAATGTCTTTGGCTAGTTTAAGAGCAGCTACGAGTACAGTACCGCTACTACCGCCGCACAATAAACCTTCCTGACGTATAAGCATTCTTGCAGCATTGAATGATTCAGCATCTTCAGTCTGTATCCATTTATCAATTACATTACGATCTAACACTGTAGGTACGAAATCATATCTGAAAAGATATTAATTAATATTTTTCAATCTAAATTGTACGTTAAATACAATAGAAAAACATTATCTACCCAATTCCTTCCACTTCATAAAAACCAATTTCATTCTCAGACTCAGCGGATGGATCTAAAATACTTCCTTTAGGATCCACAGCAATAATTTTTATATCCGGCGATAATTCTTTCAATTTTCGTCCAATACCACTAATAGTACCACCTGTACCTGCACCGGCTATCAAATAATCTATCTTCCCTTCGCATTGTTCCCAGATTTCAGTCGCGGTTTGATCGTAATGAGCCAATGGATTTCCAGGGTTAGTGTACTAGAAATATAATGTGATAAGAATACAATAAAAATACTTAATATTCATACTTATATAAAATATTACTTGATCCAGAACAATACTGTTCGGTGTTTCGCTTTGTATTTTTTGCGCAACACTGATATGTGCTTCTGGACTATTCCAACTTGCTTCAGTCGGCGTTCGAACAATTTCAGCACCAAGCGCGATTAAAGTAGAAGCTTTTTCATTTGACATTTTTTCTGGCATAACAATGATACATCTATATCCTTTAATCGCACAAGCCATAGCTAAACCGATTCCCGTATTACCGCTTGTGGGTTCAATAATAGTATAGCCTGGTTTTATAAGACCCTTTTCCTCCGCATCTTGAATCATTCTGTATGCAATTCTATCTTTCACAGACCCACCAGGATTAAAGAATTCACATTTTACATCTGAAATTAAACATATGTATTATTACAAGCTTACAAGTAATGTATTTGTTAATACTAACATATTTCACATTTAATCCCATAAGATTTAGGAATGTTGTTTAATTTTATAAGTGGTGTCTGTCCAATAGTAGTTAAAATATCAGGGAGAATCTTGCTACGATCAGGTTTCCTGAAATAATAATCATAATATGAGGTTTTTGTTAGTTTTAAATTTGTTTAATTAATGAATATTTTCTTTTATCAACTCACCCCATTCTACATGTATGTGGTGAATTTGTTGCATTTGGTTTCCACGAGCAACGACTTGGTAGATCAGGGCGTTTAAATTCCATCATTAAATTTCACTTATAACTCTTAAACTGATGGAAGTAATTTTCAATCTTGATAAATGAGTCAAGTATTATAAAACCGGGTGTTTTTTTTTTTATTTTAATGGAAGCGTGTCAGTTTCATGTAACCTTACAGATAACTATCAAGCATTATAACAGTGACAACGTACGCTCAGGCCACAAGTAATAAGTAGCAGTTTTGAATCATATATCCTTATAAGTTTTTATATCTTCTTTTTCAGTTGATACATAATTCACATCTGCGGAATGCAATCTGTAAAATGCAAGATACAACTATACAAATCAACGAATTAATACTGTTCATGAGAATCATTGCGCGAATATTACATTGAAAATTTTACCTAAGTATATAAATAGAAACTAGTTTAAGATTAATAATTCATAAATAATTGAACAAATATATACATTACATTAGAAATTTTTTATGAAAAGTTTCATTTTTATAACTATATATACAATTGTATTGTTTTAATCTGTACCGATTAATAAAAACCGACGGAATTGCATTCATAAGGATTTACAGGCGTACTTAAAAATGAAATTTGCTTATTTTTAAATAACTAATGTTGACTTATTGTTTAAAAAAGCTGAATTAGTAATAATTTTTGAAAAACTTTATGTTCCATTTTGTGTCAGGGATAGACAAGGATAGAATAATTCAATATGGTGGAAAATTTTTGAGATCGTCACTGTTTTTTGTTTCATTTTGAACAGTGGCTTTGCATTGATAAAAATTTTGATAAGGAAGTGAGGATCTAATGATTACACGAAAACATGATAGCAGTTTAATTATATCTAAACTGTACGAACTGTCGTGTGATCTATGATTGTCAACATTTTTTCTTGAAATGGATTGTCACTACCGCAACGATTACACATTTTTCGAGTATCGTATATACAGTGTGTTTTCAAAATGTATTTACAATAAAAATAGTGTATTTTATTAATGATAACTGTCATTGAACGTTCTAATACTATCTTTAAATACAGTCTAATCAAGTGTATATTATAAAGCTGTGACATATTCACAGATCTATCAAAGTTAATAATTTGTATTATCAAATTATTATGTACTTTGAAGTGGAATCTATTCAAAAATATCCAACTATGTACGTAAAATTAAAATATTATTATTTCAAAATACTTTTATTTTCTTATTTATTTATCTTCTAAAACAGATGCTTTAATGTATAATTATTTTTAATGATATTCAATATTGCTTGTAACAGGAATAAATCAGTGGAAGATTTGCTAATATCTAGCCGTGAAGTCATGAACACCGTCAATTCCACTGGATTAGAAAATCAAAATTCAGCACCAAATGTGGGAAATGGTATATCAGATAATGTTCAGGAAACAATCACTGGAGGAACAGGAGATCGAGGTAGCCCAGTTTCTAGTCCAAATTTGTCTCCACGTCTTAGCCCAAAAGTACGCTCTAAACGAGATCATTCTAAGACTAATTACGATTCAACTGCCAAAGAACATAATAATGTGAACAAAACGGATGATTTACATGTAAGATTTTATCATTTTATTTCCTCATAAAATTTATGTTTAGTTTTTCAAATATTCATAATGTAGCAACAGGATTTAGCAAACAAGTCATCGGACTCCTCTCAAGCTGTGAAAAGTTCGCACGAAGGGAAGAAAGAAACGCGTGGAAGCGAACGAAGTAAAAAGAAATCATCTTGGTATAATGTTCTATATCCTACCTATAAATCTCGATCTGAAGATTTTAAGCGAATTTTTAAAGATGTACCAGATGATGAAAGATTAGTTGTTGGTAAGTAATTAACGGTCGCGTAACATAGTGCCCTAGGCGGACTCTGGGTATATTTGGTCTTATTTGCTATTAAATTATTGAATTTTGTATTACAAATTCTTTCCTTATTCAAAATTATATTAAATGAAAAAAGGGGGAAGAGTGAATAAATAATATTTATCCCTAATGATTGAAAATAGATAATATTAAATATTGCTAACAGTTATAAACATATTTTTTTTTACGCATCTACTAAATTTTAAACATACTTCTCAGACGCACACATTTCACTTTATCACTATAGGGTGGTATTTTTTTTTTTTTTCCAATAATGTAAACAAGATGACTATAAGAAAATGGATTATAGAAGAAATGTGCGCAATGTAAGCTACCGAAACGACACAAACATCTATGTACGACTGATAAGTAGTTTATAAGTTAGATCTTAGTAAACCCGGAGACCGCTGAGAGAAGGGTAATTAATTATTTTCTGGGTCCAATAATGGCATATTTTAGTACTCGTTAGAATTCAATAAAATACTTATTTAATAAAATAATTTTTTTTGTAATTTTAATGGTATGAATTAAATTATAAATATATCATTAATATAACAAAATACATGCTTTTCAGACTATTCGTGTGCACTACAACGTGAAATATTAGTTCATGGTAGGCTTTATGTTTCTCAAAATTATGTATGCTTTTACGCAAATATCTTCAGTTGGGAAACTTTAGTATGTCTACGTTGGAAGGATGTTACATCTATTACCAAAGAAAAAACTGCACTCGTTATTCCTAACGCAATTTTAATATGCACTGCCACTGATAAGTTTTTTTTCACATCGTTCGGAGCAAGAGATAAAACATATGTTATGTTATTTCGTGTCTGGCAAAATGCTCTTATCGGCAAGGTACGAGAACCGTATAAAATGTCTCTAACATCACGAAGTATTAATTTACCACTAGCCAACACGTTAAGTTTATTTTCCATGCTGTTATTAAAATTTGTATTTGTAATGTTTAATGTTTTAGCCAATGAATGCAGCTGAAATGTGGCAACTTGTACACTCTTGTTACGGAGATGAATTGGGTTTAACATCGGACGACGAAGACTATGTTCCACCATTACCTCCAGTTGACGATGAAAAGTTGTCTACAAGATTGTCTATTGAATCATTTTCAGAGGTAATTTAATATGTGATTATGTAAAGAAGAAAAAAACAATTTTATTTTGTATATTTTAAATTAAAGGTAGAACATAGTAATATGGATCATTCGATGACTGGAACAATGGATGCAATTATTGAATCGAAACCAGAAGTTCATCATCTACCTCGGTCAAACCCTATTCTTGACGCAACTGATCTAAGCGATACAACAGAAAGTGAAGCCGAAAAACACGCATGTATGTAATAAAATCTATATTGATGACACCATTTAAGGAATTGAAGAGTTATTATATGTACAATTTTCGAAAGTTGACACAGTTGAATGCTTAACAAATGAAACATTCTGTCTTTGTATTTAATTGTCTCTAATATTATGTTTACAGTGAAATCAAGCGTTCGAAGTAATATAGTATGTACTTCACTGCACGAAGGTCGTCAAATAAGCAAGGCTATATTTCCTATTCATATCGATCAATTATTCACTTTGCTGTTTACAAATTCAAAGTTTTTCTTAGATTTTCAAACTGCTCGCAAAACTACCGGTAAGATACAGTACATAAGATAGGTAATTATTATTGAAATAAAGTTACTTTGAAATATTATATTACCCAATATTTCTGTTATTAAGATTTAGTACAGTCAGCATGGACGCAAAATGAGCAAACAGGTCAGAAAGTTAGAACATTGTCATTTACAATGGCACTTTCTCAAGCTATTGGACCAAGGAGTTGTCATATTTCAGAAACTCAGGTAATTCTTTTTAAGTTCATTAAATATGTATCAATATTTCTAATGTAATTAATCATTCTAATGTAATTTATCAACTGTCCAAAGAACTGTTTAATATATTTTTAGATAATGTTACCATGTAGCAGGCCAGGTCATTTGTATAGTATCGACGTAGAAAGTGTAAACGCTGGAATTCCATACGCAGACTCTTTTTCTGTATTCGTTCATTACTGTATGAACAGCATTACTGAAAATGAAACGAGTATCTCAGTTTACGCTCAAATAAAGTACAAAAAAAGTGTATGGGGTTTTGTGAAAGGTAAATATACATGAAATACAATTAATGATAAAAAAAATAATTAAATACTTTAAATAATAAAACACAGGTGTTATTGAGAAAAACTGCTGGGCTGGGTTAGAAGAATATTTTACGAGTTTGATAAAAGCATTAACTATAGAATGTGAAGAAAATAGCGGAACTGGAGGAGTAAAAAGGAAAGCAAGGAGAAGACGTCGTGCTACAGGTCCCGGGATCGTTTTACAAACTCATTCTGCTGATCTTACGTCTCCAAGCTTACAGAACTCTCTGAATTTGCCACATATTAATGATAATACTGGTATGAAATGAATGGTACAACATTCCACTATAACACGTACTTTACATCGATATAAGAATATCAATAATTTATATATTTTTATATCTAGTTTCCGGTGCTCGAGGTGATTCTAACATGATAATTAGTTCGATGCTTCTAATTGCGGTATTATGCTTAATGGTGATCAATGGTCTACTATACTATAAACTATGGGGTTTAGAAGAAGCTGCAGCCTATACAATTATGGACTTACATGTACTAAAGTACGTATTAGACATACCGCAAATCTGGATTCCCAGGTTTTCGGTCCTCTCCGGAAAGACCGGTAGGCGGTCTTCGAAGTCTACTTCGCTCGATGCTATACACATATTTAACATGTAATATAATATATATTTATAACTTGTTACAAATTGTTTGACTTGTCAGGAATACTCCAAAGACTGAAGAAGATTGGATTCATTTGTTACAACAACAAGAAAGCTTGCATAATGTAGAGATGAGAAAATGGCAAAGAGTACTTCATACTGCTGCACAGTTACTTAGACAAGTAAAACATTTAGTTTAATATTTATATTATGTTGTATTTAATCGTATGAATTAATCAAATTCTTTCATTGTACTTAAAGACAGAAGAATCATTAACGGAATTACAAATGAGTATTCATCCGACTGCAACGGAAAAAATGTTTTCAGTGTTGAAACCAAGTCTCAAGAGTTTTAATTCGCATACAGAGCAGCGAAGTCATTCGGAAATGTAAAATGAAAAATATGTAAAATATCTTGGTTAAAAATAACGTGAGTATTAACAGGAAATATTATTGAAAATCATTATTAATACAACTTAAGTGTACTTAATGACACCAATGTTATATATAATTGTTGTACTTGCATATAACGTAATTAGGTAAACAAGTACGCTGTGATGATGATTGCTGATTACTTCAAATGCGCAACAATACGCATGTAAATTATTTATGATCTACAGAAAATGTGATTTAAATTTATTCATTTATATTGTTTAAGTATTTGTAGAATATTATATATATATAAAAGTTTTTCGTATAAAATGTTAAGTTAAATTAAGTTACATTTTCAATATATTCTTTGTATATAAATACACACACCCAAATATATATAAGTATGAATATTAATAATATACATAATATTTATATTTATAATGTTTATGTGTGTGGATAGAAGATGTATATTAGCACAATGTAAAGCAGAAAAATAAATAATTTTTAGAACAACAGCCCTTTATTTTACTTCATTGGGCAGTTAAAAGTATAAATTGAATTTTTTGTAATTATGAACCGATATTAGGGTATATAAAAACAAATAATACCTATATATTTATCAAACTTTTGTAATTAAGTAATCATACATTTTACATTTTATTTGTCTTCTGGCTTGTTAAATACAAGCGTGTAACCACATTTGCCACAGTAATGTCGGTCTTCCATTGCAGCCATAAAAACTCCTGCACCACACTGTTCCATTGGGCATTCTCTTCTCAATCGATGAATTTTTCCATTTTCATCTACCTGTACAATACCAAATTTTTATGTAAGAAAATAATCTATAACTTTATCCTATTTACATATTAAAAAATATTTACGTACTTTATAAAATTTGAGTACAGCAAGCTTAACCTTCTTCTTCTTGTGTTTAATTTTTTTCGGAGTCGAATAATTCTTCTTCTTACGTTTCTTAGCTCCTCCTCTTAAACGTAACACCAAATGCAACGTAGATTCTTTTTGAATGTTGTAATCTGACAAAGTTCTACCATCTTCCAATTGTTTGCCAGCAAAAATTAATCTTTGTTGATCAGGTGGAATGCCTAAAATGTAAATGAAAATGTTATTTACAAACTTTCCATAAAACAACTAATATCATTTTATTATATTATTACCTTCTTTATCTTGAATTTTTGCTTTCACATTTTCGATAGTGTCCGATGCCTCAACCTCGAGGGTGATGGTCTTCCCAGTAAGAGTCTTCACAAATATCTGCATGGTGAAATCAAGGTAACTGTAAAAAATAAACAGTTCCCATATTTTTTACAATCTTAAATATTTATAATAAAAAAAACTGTCTTATAATTTATCAAATTTCACGAAGAATTTAAGGAAATAACTAAAACAGCAATTTGTATTCAAGCTTATTTTCTTTTTTATTACAGACGCTTCTTGTAAACATGTAAATTAATCATACAATAATGATCATTTATACAAGTAATACAGCATTAATGCAACCATCATTTTCAGGGTTGTTTGTAACTTGAGCATATTTTCCCCAAACTACTTTTCCAGACTGTGTTACAAGACCTAATTCCGAAATATTTACTTCGATGATTGTTCCTTTAGTAATAACACCTAAACTCGTATACATTGATGAGCTTGGATTCTTTTTAACTCCAATAATTGGTAAACAGAAGGTGGCCTTTAATTCAGGGTGAGTTACGTGCGCCTTCTTAAAACGCAACGCCATAGGTCTAATAAACCTTTCAAATTTTGGTGGTTTTCTTGTGAAGTTTTCACCGACAAACGTTACTTTTGTTACCATTCGTTTCCAAGATTTACGTCTAGACTTTCCGGTTCTCATTATTTTGAATACTTCTGATTCTGATTGCGTTTTAACTTTTGGTATCGGTACATCCCATTTGCCAACTTTTTCTTTTCGTTTTTGTTTTATCATATTGGATAAAACTTTTGCATCCTTCTTAACGTCACGATCCAATAGATATACAGGTAACGCTCCGTTAGGTACATCGTTCGACTTTTCTTTTACTTTCTTTTCCATGTGAGATTTAATTTTCTTTTTCATTTGTATCTTTTCATTTCGTCTCTCTTTGTTAAAGATCTTTGCTTTGATACCACGCAAAGTACGAGCGCGCTCTGCTCGTTTGTGAGGCTCACGGGCCTCTCTTTTTCTTTTCCTTTCTTCATAATCCAACCGTCTTCCATACAGTTTACGGTGTCTTTCAATGTATTCGTTTTGTGGCATGATGATTGTTGTTACACCTTCAGTTGCAAATTATCTATAAAATAAATTACTTTGGTTTGAAAATTCTGAAAATGAAAAGTTTCAATTCTAATACATTTTATATATGTTACAACAAATTTACGATACCAATACATAGTATATATAATTATACCTACCTATATATATATACCTATAACTTGCTGTTTTACATTTAAATACATTAAATTGTTCACGAATTGTGCACGTATAAATGTAAACTAGAATTCTGCTTGCATATTTCACAGCATTGTGAAATTCAAATAAATGGTAACAATTCAATCAATATTGTTCACTTTGCTTCTATTAAAAATATTACCTTTTCAAAAATTTGTAATATTTAATACACAGTTTCATTATACATAAAAATATTGATACATTAAATTGGTTTTTATTAATTATAAGGTGTATCAATCACATTTATTGCAACGTGCCATGTGTTCAATCGAAATGTACTTTGAAAGTAAGTAAGATAGAACAACTATAAATGCACTGACTCTTTTGAATGCATTTATAAAAATTGTAAATATAAACAATATAAATGGAACGCTTAAACAATTCTTATTTTTCAATAATTTTCAAGATTTATTGTAAAACTTACCTTCAACTACGCCATGCACATAAGGAAAGAAATTGATAGTGAGGATACTCTGAATTGGAGAAATAATTAACGCCATCTGGTGTTATACAAATTTAATTCATTTATAAATATACTAAATAATTTTATAATCTAAATTATCCATAATTAAAGAGTATTTAATTTTATTCAATTGAAAATAAAAACTTTACATATTTATGCTAATAATCATAAATCTTCAATATATTTGAACATATAGAAACACGGCTTTATATTAATTCTTCGCATCAATATCACCGAACATTTAACAATTCTTACGTCATGGTTTAAAAAAGAAAGTTGCGAGTAATTGAAGAATAAATAGTTTATGATTTAGCAATTTATTATTGTTATATTCATAATTGAAAATCAAAATATAAAATGAGAAAAAATTTGAGTAAGGAAAAGATACACTTATGTAAATGGTATAGAATAGTATTTATTGTAATTTTACATTAATATTCAGCTTCAGTGATATAAGATTAATAAAATAATAGGATTACAAATGTGTACAAATACTATTTTTTATTATTTTTACATTATATATTATGTAGAGAAAGATATTTCATACCATTATTAGATGTACCTTATTAAAATCAATTCGTACTATTTCATTTATGACATAGCTAATTTTATTGAATGCAAGATAAATTTCAAGAAAATGGTATAAATTAGTTAAAAAACAAAACACCATAACAATTTTTTAATATACTTAAAATTTTCTTGTGCAAAGCAATCAATGAATTTTTATATTGCAAAATTAATAACAAATGTGTTTACATATTTGTTTATATTCTTTTTTCATACCTGAACTTTTACACCAAGCTCAGCAAATAAAAATGCTGTTAATACTTGTATTATTGTTTGTTGTAATTGTGTATCATTTCCTATATCATATATAAAGTCGCAAATTGTTGTGGGTTTTGATTTTACAAGTTGCATTATTAACTTTGCCAGTTTCTCCCTTTGTTCTGGAGTGGTATCATAAAGAAGAATATCAGGAACCGATTTTAACTCTCCTTGTGACATAAAACCTAATGCACAACTGCTGATCATACCACCTAAAAATTTATGCAAGACATGACAAAGAGAATAAATTAAATATTATATTGAATTATTTAATAATTACCAACTGCTAATCCTACTGGTCCACCAAGAATACCAGATGTAATTGTTATCGCTCCAACCATAGTTCCATATTTTATTGCAGTATTAACAGAAGCCCGCATACGTTTAACACACTGAAGTTTTGAAATTTCTTCTATCACAGAGTTTGTTGACAACATAGTTGCTGAATTATATATTTACATATAACTTAAACAATTGACTGTAAAATCTTAGACTAATCTCTTATTATCAACCCTATTTATATGTATATTCTCTTTAATCTGTGATTGAGTCCTGCTGGTCCTGCTAAAATGCAGTCCAATACAACAGTTTCTAATAAGGGTATTTACAGAGAAAAGACACTCTTCACAACTGATTCGACCATGTAAATTCGAAGGAAAATAAATAACCAGTTTGATCCGACTGTATATATAAAATATCACTAATTTTCATTTTCTATTGCGTATGACACTTAACACGTTACAGTTTATGTTAAATTTCTATTACATATGTATTTATATAGCTTAAAAACGATAAACTTATTTGTTATAACGCAATAATCAAGTTTGACAATTTGTACTCGTGTCTCATCTGATGCCCGGATTGTCCTTTGACCATACATACATACATACTACCAATCATTGTTAAAATCATCATGTTTTTCCTCTGGGATTACCCGATGTGCATGCTCTTGAAATTTGACGGTTAGTCGGTGAAAAGACAATCGCATTTACACCGTGCGTTATCGAAAGCGTATTGGTTAACAATTAATTTATTATATCTTCAATTGTTTAACGACGCTTAAAAGTATTTATGACGGAAAATGAATTATACGAGAACATGGATCCCTACGAGGTAACATATTTCCAATTATTTTTACACAGTTTCTAAATATAAAATTATTAACAGTATAGGGTTAGGTTGATTATAATTGTTATATCACATAATGATTTTGTATGTTTAATAGAATCCTGATCTTCTACCGTTGGAGGAATTAAAATTAAAAATCAAAACCGAAGGAATCGTTGAATACGTTAACGCTTTGGTATGTTTATAAAAAGCAGTACACAGCTGAAGATACCTAGATTTTAATTATGTTTACAACTTTGAAACATATTTTATTTTTTACTAATTTTTTAGAACAAAAAATGGGCAAGTGATCGTTATTTTTTGCATTATGAGGCTCCTGCTATATACGACGATGATGGAAGTGAAATTTCGGGGGCAAAAGAACACTGGATGAATATTGTCAATTATATTATTAATGATTTAAAATGGTTACTTAGTCTTCCTTTTTATAGGTAAATATAATTAGTAAATTAATAAGGTAGTAATTTATTACAAGTGTATACTTTCCTGTGTCATGTTTTATATTCCTTTTTTATTTAGATTTTGGTCAAACATTGTATTCAATACGTCGATCATAGATGTATTGGTATCTTTTTTACAAGAAGCTCCACCATTTTATGCTTTAGAAAGTTTTCCAAATTGTCCTGAAATGTTAAAACTCTTAGAGGCACTCCACCGTTATGTTCTTATGGTTTTCACAAGACTTGTAACAAACAAGGAGAGCGAAGAAGAACATATGAGCCGTCGATTTCTTGGAAATTTATTGTATGAGAAATACATATTTACGGTTCCAATTATCTTAGATCTCTGTCAACTTTACGGACGAGAAAACGAAAAAATAATCGGAAAACTTTTAAATTGTTTATTTATATTAGAACCACGATACAATATCGATCTTCAAGGAGCTGTTCCTTGTTTCATAGAGGTGACATATTAATATATACAGACTAATTAATATTATATAAAAGTAGAACTAAACATGAGTATTGTTAGTTTAGGCTCTTGAAAATGTTGAAAGGAAGTTTGATAATTATTCCACTGGATATACCAATGAAGCAGTTTCATTGTCAGAGAGATATAGACCTATTCCAAAACTTACACTATGTAATTTAGAAGATATGACGTTATATGTGCTAGATATATCATCAACAATCACTATATTTTTAAAAAATCATCCTCCTGCAGTGAGTATATTTCACACAGAGGATTTTATGAATAAGTAAGTGCTTAAATTTATACTGTTGTTTGTTTCCAAAGACTTTTTTATTCATATCTTATCATTTAACAATAATTAGAATCGTTTCAATATATGGGAATACAATACCTGAAATGTATAAAACGTTAGACAAACTTGCATGTAATGAAGAGAACATGCCGAAATACATGGAATTGAAACATCGTTTGGATGTAACAAGGATCGAACTTCTAAACCTTTACCGCGTTATTATATACGAGCCAGTATTGAATACCCAAGAAAATTTGTAAGTTAAAAGATGTAAAAGTTTATTATGCGTTTTAATTAATATAAAGTTTACGAACATAATTAAAATTATACATAGAAACACAATTTCGGAAGCAGAAATAAAAGAACGAATGGATGACTATATCAACCTTTTAGCCAATGCCAGTTCTGAAAAAGAATTCATTACAGATTATGATCGATTTTATCCCGTTCAACGAGATTTAATGATGTTATTAAATATTTGTCCTGAATTGTATCCTTTTCTGATACGATATATTTAAAACGATTATGAGCATACATTTTTTTTAATACTTAACAAATATTCAGTGATAAAATAAAATATGACTATGTATTACAATCGGTGAACGTAGTTACTGGCAAATCAACTACTTCACCTGTTACTTTATCTAATAATGTAAATGTAAGTTAACGAAAAAAATACAAATCAATATCATTTCCATATGATTTTTACATATTTGTCTTTTATAGGAAGCAGTTGCTGGACCTAGTGGTGTTACAAGGCAAGCAATCACATCCAATAATACAAACTCATCAAATAAGAAAAAAATGTCTATAAAAGAGGATTCTGTTAAATTATTATCTCTTATCTCGGAAGTTAAGGATATTTTATGCGATCTAGATGAACGTTTTATTGAGGTAACGATTTCGATACTTTAATAAATAATAAAGAAGTGGATTGCAAGAACATGTTTAACATTTTACAGTTGTGTTTGGATCATTACGATTATAATGCTGCATCTGTGATAAATGCTGTATTAGAAGAAACATTACCACCTAAGTTGCAGAAATTGAAAGATTCAGAAGCTTCAGTAAATAATGCACTACCAAGTTACATGGTAAATAAATTTCGTTTATTATACAAAGATAAACTTTAATATTTTACACAATGTAGATGCGAATTTTTTATTCTTTTAGGAGACTGTAAACAATGATAATCTGATTTCTAACATTGAAAGCCTTAGTATGTTTGAGGATTATACCGATGATACCGTTCGCGTCAAAACTCGCGAAATTGTTGAAGTACCAAAGGATTATATAACTAAGAAGTAAGCGTTCAGGAACTGAATAATTATTTACTCGTTAATACGCACAACATATAAAAATATTTTTATTGAGTCTAACAAAAAATATATTACAGCTACAGCCTTGTCTTAGATGATTACGAAGATGAGTACGACGATACGTACGACAATCGTGATATACGCGGCAATGCACAAGACAATTCCGTTGAAATAGATTCAAGACCGTTCACTACACCACGAGTTAGTATTTATAAATATATAACACATTTATTACTAACAAGTATTAGTTACAATCATTTTTAAAACGAGCAATAATTTTAGGTGCTTCTTGGAAAGAAGAAGGTAGAAACTGTAGATGAATCGGAATCAGAGGACGAAGAGACGGCGGTAGAAAATGGAAAAGATCACTTTGTACAGAATCCGGAAGAACTACGTGCTAGAGCTGAACAACGAAGGCAAGCAATGCGAGGCGGAAAATCTACACCAAATGTAACTGGTATGCTTTTTAATTTGCGTACAGCATTTGTGTAACGCAGTAAGGTGGCGTTACAAATATTGTAACAGTTGTTATTATTGCATTATACATAGGTAAACCAAAAGGGCGAGGGCAAGAGAAGAACGTCATGCACAACAGACAACAAAAGAATGCCCATAAATCGACGCAAGCTAATCATAATCGTCGTTCTGGTGCTCAGTACAAACGAAATCAAGGAATGATTCCATCTTAAATCTACTTATACTTTTACAATAACAGTGTAAATACTGCCATGTGATAAATACATTCGTACCCATACCTCCATAGTACCTGAACCCCTACACAATATCGTCATACTGTATTATTGCTGTAACGATCCTTACGATCTTCAGTGATCTTTAACAATGGTAAGAGCTCTTATTCTATTCATTTGATTAGACACTGCTTGTTGATATTCGTGTTCAGGCATCATAGCGCTAGACGGGGATCCTGAAGCATTTGGAACTGGCATTAAATGTGTAAATAATTGTGTTGTATTTCCATAGTAATCTAACTGTATCATGATTAAAGCATGTACACTAGGCTTAATGTATTCCAATCTCTTATCTAAAAACAGGGGTAGTTCTACAAGTAATTGAGCATGTACAGTCTTTAAATCCTTAGCAGCAGCTTCTTCAGCTCGACGTTCTCTTTCTAATTTCGCAATATGACTAGCGGTTCTATCTTTTTTCTCTTGCAACTTTTTCACGCGATTATAAGAGTATTTCCAAGCAGTTACCAACTCCTCTCGTTTGGCTATTGCTACAGCTATTAAAACAAACTCGTCTCGTAACTTTTTTAAAGGTTCTATAAAAGTTTTCTGACAAAGTACTGCCATTTCTTGCACAGTTTTTCCAACCTGTTACAAATATAAAAATCTTCATTCTGTTCAACATTAAAGGAAAGTATTCTTATAAACATACCTGTGTTGTGACTGAATGATAATCTTCTACTACTTTTCTAAATTCGTCGCTAAGATGCGCTAAGCCACAAGTTGTCAAATTTAGTGTTAATCTCTGATCTGCTCGATCCAAGTTTAATATAGACTCTATGTACCTTTTCATTTCTTTTGTTAGCTTTCTAATTGTGTCTTCAACACTTAAAGATAAAATTGAAAATTATATAAGAATATGTATAATATGTAAATACTCTTTAATAATCTGTAGGACAGACAAATTAGATTGCAGTCATTACATACTAAATGAGCTTTTGAACGGCAACATCAAGCTCTCTATCTTCTGTATGAGATAACAAAGGAGGTGCTGGTGTAGGTCTTTGAGTCAAATGATTTTTCTTTAAAGGATTCCTGTATAAATGTAATTCAAAATTGTCATATTAACTTTTCAGGTTATCAAAACATCTTATGCAACTTACCACGTCATATTCTTTTTATAAATTAAATCATCATATTATTATATTTCCTTGATTAAAGTCAGTTTACTTAAAATTATCACAATTATTAATTAAAAAAGCATCACACTAATGTACACCATCGATAACGCTCGGCGTCCAATTTTTAAAAATTTGACAACGTTATCTGATAGATGGGATCTTATCGCATGATTTTATGACATAAAAGTACCGTAAAATGGCACTTATAGTATATCAATTTAAAGTTTAAACCTAATTGAAGATAATTATCTAGGCGCTTCATTAATATTCTTAATAAAAAATGGCTGAATGCTAATTAATTAATTAATTGCATACAGTAGAAATAAATAGAAATTCCAAAATTATCGATATAAAATATTGCGGTACGATGTAAACATATTGCTTTTATATTATTAAGAATTTCTATAATTAATTACCTAAAAATTTTAATTAACACATACAGAAACTGTTCTATACTATATATGTATGTATATATATGTATACCGCAGTTCACCAGAGTCCATAACTGCGAAAAGACCAGTTTTCGTTCTTCGCGCTTCTCCAGTGCGCATCTTCGCCCTGATTGGCGATACTCCCAAACGAAGTGGAAAGCGATTAGCAGAGAGCTCGCTGCGTTTCCCCACCATCGCACCATCTTCCAACCTGCGCGTCGTAGTTATGGACTCTGGTGAACTGCGGTATACATTTACGTATGGCTGTTTAGTTTCGCGCGCTTTTAAAGTCGTCACATTTATTCAATTTATTTCGCAGAAGATATCCGTATTCTGTCTTTAGTTCATAATTGTTGAAATACATAAATAATTGAATAAAATATTTTATTTCTTATAAAGTATAAATATTCGAAATAAGAATACATTATTAGAATGTGATATTTAATAACAATTCATAATAGGTAAAATCATAAACCAAGTCAGATTCTACAACATTTAAGCAAATATGAGCTTGTGGGTGGATAAATATCGCCCGACAACACTCGGGAAATTGGATTATCATCGAGAACAAGCAGAATACTTGAGAAATATGGTAATAACTTATATCATAACATTACATGAATTGAAAAGGTTATATCGAAAACGCGCCATTATTTGTTATGAACTTACGTTTTTAACTACCCCAAAGATTTTATTTTTAATCAGTTATTTTTATATCATAATTATAGGTGAAGAAAGGTGATTTTCCGCATTTATTAGTGTATGGACCATCAGGTGCAGGAAAGAAAACTCGTATACTATGTATCATAAAAGAATTGTATGGAAGTGGAGTTGAGAAGCTGAGGATGGAATCTATGACATTTGAAGTATCTTATATTTGCTTTCATCAAAATATACAATCTGTTAATTATTGATTTTGTGAATAATTAACATATCTATATTTTTAGACACCATCTAAAAAGAAGCTAGAGATAACAACAATAAGTAGTAACTATCACATTGAGGTAAACCCCAGTGATGTGGGTATATATGATAGAGTTGTAGTAATGGATTTGGTAAAAACTACTGCTCAAACTCATCAAATAGATCCAAGTGGACAAAGAGAATTTAAAGGTAAATATTAAAGTTAAAACTAATACCATTATACGATTGTTTTCATGTTCTTTTAATCATAATAAATTGATATTAGTGGTATTGTTAACTAATGTGGACCAACTTACAAAAGATGCACAGCATGCTCTTAGAAGAACAATGGAAAAATATGTTGCTACATGTAGACTGATACTTTGTGCAAATTCAACATCACGTGTTTTACCAGCTATTAGATCAAGGTGTTTAGGAATCAGGGTACCAGCTCCAACAGTATCAGATATAAAAAATATTTTGTATTCAATTTGTAAACGTGAAGGTTTAACTTTACCAAATGAATTAGCTACCAGAGTAGCTGAAGCTAGTGGTAGAAATCTTAGAAGAGCGATATTAATGCTTGAAGCTTGTAAGGTTGAACAGTAAGTATGTCTACATGTCTATGAATGTAATACAAATTTTAGTGTTTCATTAATTGTTTTTTATTAGGTATCCATTTACTGCAGATCAAAAAATTGCAGAACCAGATTGGCAAGTATATATTCGTAATACAGCTAATATGATGGTCAGTGAACAGAGTCCAAAGAAACTTCTTGAAATAAGAAACAGACTTTATGAATTACTTACCCATGCTATACCCTGTGATTTAATATTTAAAGGTCTTTTACAAGAATGTATAAAAAATTGTGATCTTCAGCTAAAAATTGAAATCGCAACTGTTGCGGCTGAATACGAGCATAAAATGCATAGAGGATCAAAATCAATTTTTCATTTGGAAGCATTTGTCGCGCGATTTATGGCAATTTATAAAAAATTCATTGATTCATCTCTTGAAGGCTTTGTTTAATACATTAATTCATGTACTTACATACATTTCAAATACAATTATGCAAATACAAATTTGTTAAATAAGTTCTTATATTTCTAAATCATGTATATTTATTATTTATAAAGTAACTAATAACAATCTGTATTTTTTAGATTTGTTATTCTAATGTTTTACTCTAAATTTTGTACAATTTGTCGGACAAATTGATCTGATAATACAGTTAATTTTCAGTAAAAATTGTATGACAATGTAATTGATGAAACTTACAATGCAGCAAGAAGAACAGCAGCAATTGCAGACAATGCAGTCACTGCATATCCAGTACTATATACTTCTTTAATTGTAAGGAACATTCCTAAATCCCAAAACTGCAAAGTGTAACAATGAAAATTTAAATATCAACCAATGCTAAGAAAGAACTATACTAACTATTTAATTATTAGTTGACATCAATTTTTTTAAGATCTATATTACCAAATGACGAAATCCGTTGAGTGTATGATAAGTAGCAGGAAGAGCAAGTAAAGTTTTGCCAACAAAAAGAATAGGAGCTGATAAACCTAAATCTGAAATCATTTCTATAAGGCAAGGAATACCTCCAGGGATAAGTAATGTTCCTGTAATTATAATATCAATTATTGATTTAAAAAGTTTTTCTTCATTTTCATGCTGAGATTAAAAAAGAATTTACCTAAACCAAGCATCATTGCATAACTTGACAATATTAGGCCTGTTGTACGATGCGTAATGGAAAGAAGTGATGTTATTTGAACTTGATAAATAGTTAAGTGTGGTGACATAGGTCTCTTAAGGCGCATATTTCTCTCATCATGAGATTCACAAATTGTGCTTCCCATACATGGTGCTGAGATAGCAACATTCCGTGGGCTAAAAAAATTTATTTCAATAATTGTTGTCTACATTTCATAAAAACAAAATCTGATAAGTAGCAAATACTAAAAGACAAAAAGTTTAATTAATTCTAACTTGTGTCAATGCAAGCAACAGATTAAAATATATTGAAAACATAGGTGACATTTAACTAAAACGAAGGGTATAACGTGTTACATAACATTTTACCTGCACGTATACAAATTTCGAAAATTACGAAAATCGACAGTACGGCGACATAGCAGTCTGAAAAACATCAAATTATTTTCATATAATTCTCGAATACAATAAAATATTATAAAAATGTAGGCTATAATTTGTTACCTCGTATAACACAGCGCCATGTTTCTTGTATGTACCCTGTCCTTTTAATTACACAAATGAATGTTTTATCCACGTGACAAAGTTACGAATTATAATTTTTTTATTTTGGTTCTTACAGATAAATTACATAAGCTCTACTTAACAGATCAGATAAAAGAAACAAAAATTATCTCATATGAAAAATAAAATAATGTAAATAACATCGGGTTGTTACTCTATCTTATATCTCGTCTGTGGTAAAATAGCTGCGGACTCCCTCTATTGTGTTCTGCTTTACATATTCTAAACTGTGCTTTCCATTTTCAACCGAAGATCGTTATTGTAATTTTGATTTCAACCACGTTAGGATATATTTTGTTACAAGAGGTCAATTTTTATTTTAACGGCAACTATTAATATAAAATAAAATGATTGATATTAAGATACCGAAAGCTCCAAATGGGATGTCCCTTGGGGTTTCATGTCTTGCGGCAGCCGGCATGGCTGCTTATGGTATCTCGAAGTCCATGTATACGGGTTTGTTATCTGTATTTTAATAACTAATTTTAATTATAACTACTAATATAGTTCTATGTAAAAAACTTTTTATTATATATATACTAAATTATTATATTTTATGCCATAAATCAGCAGTAGATTAAGGAACACTTTTATTTTTAATTACTTAGTTTTATTGGAATATATTTGAAATATTATTTCATGATACTTATAGCAATAGTTACTTTTAAATACTTTTCAATACATAAGTATATTTTTTTTCAGTGGATGCTGGTCACAGAGCAATTATATTTTCCCGTTTGGGAGGTATTCAAGAAGAAATTAGGACTGAAGGCCTTCATTTCCGTGTTCCATGGTTCCATTGGCCAATTATTTATGATATTAGGAGCAGACCTAGAAAATTATCTTCACCTACAGGATCTAAAGATTTACAAATGGTTAATATTTCTCTTCGTGTACTTTCTAGGCCTGATGCAAGTAAATTACCTATAGTATACCGTAACTTAGGTCTTGATTATGATGAAAAGGTAAGTGAAAATATTATTATAATGTTGTTACATTTTATTTCAATAAGAAAAAATATGTTATAGGTCTTACCAAGTATTTGTAATGAAGTATTAAAATCAGTGGTTGCAAAGTTTAATGCATCTCAGCTAATTACACAAAGACAGCAAGTATCAAATATGGTAAGAAAAGAATTAACTGAACGTGCTAGGGATTTCAACATTGTTTTGGATGATGTATCAATAACTGAATTAAGCTTTGGTAAAGAATATACTGCTGCTGTAGAATCTAAACAGGTTGCCCAGCAGGAGGCACAAAGAGCAGCTTTCTTTGTAGAAAAAGCGATACAAGAAAAGCAGCAAAAAATTGTTCAGGCTGAGGGTGAAGCAGAAGCAGCTAAAATGATATCCTTTTAAAAACTAACAATCATATTCATAGGTTTTTATTATCACACGTTTAGATACAATTATCCTTAACTCCAGTGTACCTTGGTTTAGCTCTTAGTCAAAATCCTGGTTATTTAAAGTTGAGAAAAATTCGGGCAGCGCAAACTATTTCTCGCATGGTAATTAATGTAAAAATTGTATTGTTTCCGATAATTTAAAGAATAATTACAGTCTAAAAATAATTTTCGTTTCAGATCGCAAACTCTCCAAATCGTCTATACCTTAGCGGTAACAGTTTGATGTTGAATATTCAAGATCCAGCATTTGATGTTGCATCAGACAAATTAAAAAGTAAGAAATAAAAACAAATACAGGCATATTTTTTCATGCATTTATTCTCTTTTTTGTTATGTTTAATTTTGTATAATTGCAAATGATTTTTAATGCTACATTGTAATTAAGAAAAACAATTATTGTTAATAAGATATATTAGATGGCTGTAGATATAAAGATATCATTATACATATTCATGTTTCAATCTTTATATCCTGTACGACGATGAAGCTCGCTCGAAAATCTCGAGTTCGTGTGTTTCTAGGTCTTGAAAGGACGAACCCGAAAAACTGGAATGATGCTACGCAAAGCGCAATGAAATCTTTAGTGTCCGACCATCAGCCGACAGTGAAAAATTACGAAAATCCATTGATTAAATCATCTGTATCAATACCTCCAGAAGAACAAATAAGTATTTTATTGGATTCAGCAGATAATGGAGCAAAAATTATAGTATCATAAATTCAAAATTTCAATTTTAGGCTTCAAAGAGATTTTGCGATGCGAGCTCGTCTTTTCTAACACGTTCCTTATCCAATCTATTATCCTCATTTTGTCGAAGCTGCAAAATAAAACAACCTATTTTTTAATCATATGAACGATTATCTCAATAATTTTAAAAAATTTCATTTTTGCAAGTCTTAAAATCTGGGTACAGTTTATTATATATCTTCACCATGAACTTTCTACATAAGTACTATTCATGTTTTGTCATTTTAATGTATATAGATGTTTCTATAAAAGTTTTGTTAAACCAAAAGCTACTTTAAGGGATTTATAAGACTTGTATAAACAATAAAATTTATGAACTATTTTTTGTTATAAATATCATTTTTTTGGAATTAGTACAATTTAATTATAGTTTGTTACCAATACTAATAAGTCGGTGTATCTGAAGTTTTAATTAATGATAGATTAAATAGAAAAGAATAAAACATTAGATAATTTCAAAAGATACTTTGGAGCTACGCGATAAATTTCCGGCAGCTTTTAAAGTGTTCACACGGAAAATAAATAATTTCTTATAATATAATCTATTTTTAATAGTTTCTTATAGTATATTTCGATTGAAATACACTAAAGGTATGTATTTTTCAAGCAACAATATATATATTTATGTAAATATTATCATATGGGTCATATTTTCGAGTTAACCTTTACTTCTATCTGTTTTTTATGAAGTACTCTTCATAAAGGAATATGATCTATTACATTTACATTTGAAGTATATAATATTATACATACACTATACTGTTTATGTACTTTTTGTACATATACAGTATTATTATATTCTATTGAAGTGATATTACATCATTTTTATAGATGGGAGAAGATAAAAGTATGGAATCATCTTCAGGAGGGTAAGGCAAATCATATGTTTCTCAAAACTTTATGGAATTCAACAATATTTTAAAAATACCTTTTTTCTCTTAAACACAAAGAGATGAACTGTCTAAGAAGGCTCTTAAGAAACAACAGAAAGAAGCAGAGAAAGCAGCAAAGAAAGCTGAACGTAAAGTTCAAAATGTAAAATAAGTTATTTTATGTTAATTAATTTTATATAATACATAATTTTATTTAGTAACAAAGTATGTTTAAATATATCTACATAGCAAGCACAACAAGAAATGAATCAAGAAGATGTATCAGTTGGAAAATATGGAGAGATGGGGTTGATACAAAGTAAAGAAAAATACTCAGAGAGAAAATTTATTGACATTAAAAATTTGAAACCTGAGCTAGAGAATCAGACTGTATGGCTGAGAGGTCGTTTGCACACTAGTCGTGCCAAAGGTATGTTATTACATCATATGTTATTTACTTATCTATTGAATCAAAATATGTACAATATATTTTTACAGGTAAACAGTGTTTTATTGTTTTAAGACAACAATCATCTACAGTGCAAGGTTTGGCTGCAGTAAATGAAACAATTAGCAAGCAAATGATTAAATTTATATCTAAGTAAGTTATAAAAATAATAAAATAACTACTACATCAATATCGTTTCATATTTAACAAAGTAATTTTATAGTATTACTAAAGAATCAATTGTGGATGTAGAAGCAGTCGTAAAACGCGTGCCTTCTAAAATTGAATCATGTACACAGAAAGATGTAGAGGTTCATATCGAAAAAGTTTTTGTAGTAAGTGCTGCAAAACCACAGTTACCTTTACAAATTGAAGATGCATCAAGACCTGTAACAGAAGCAGATGAAAATACTCTTAATATTAAAGTAAATCAAGACACTAGATTAGATAATAGAGTCTTAGATCTCAGGACTCCAGCTAATCAAGCTATATACAGAGTAGAAGCAGGCATTTGTAAGTTATTCAGAGACATTCTCACAAGTAAAGTAAGTAGATAGTGAAACTGTGTAATAACTTTCTTATTAAACTATTACAATTATATGAAATTGCATGCTTTGTATTTTATTAATAGGGTTTTGTTGAAATTCATACACCAAAAATCATATCTGCAGCAAGTGAAGGTGGAGCAAATGTATTTACGGTGTCATATTTTAAAGGAAATGCTTATCTAGCACAGTCTCCTCAACTTTACAAGCAAATGGCGATAGCAGCCGATTTCGACAAAGTTTTTACTGTAGGAGCAGGTAATTTACCATTTATCATTTATATTTATTATGTATTACAATTATTTGTAATAGTTTTTAGAGCTGAAGATTCCAATACACATAGGCACTTAACGGAATTTGTTGGATTGGATTTAGAAATGGCATTCAAATATCATTACCATGAAGTAATTGATACTATTGGGCAGTTATTTACCGAGATGTTTAAAGGTCTTCGCGACAAGTTAGTAAAAATTGTTTATTAAACATTGAAAGTTGTTTTTTAAGTGTATTAGAATCTTTTTATCAAACTTATTTTCAGTTACGCTGCTGATATCGAGGCCGTTCGTCAACAATATAATGTCGAGCCTTTCAAGTTTTTAGATCCGCCTCTGAAGTTAGAATTTAGCGATGCAATTGAATTATTGGCAGAAGCTGGTGTAACTTTAGGCGAAGAAGATGATTTGTCTACACCAGATGAAAAACTGCTGGGTAAACTTGTCAAGGCAAAAGTAATGTTTCGTTGCACGCTATTTACATTATTAAAATATACTGCTTGTATACATCAATTTATCTCTTTTCAGTACGATACTGACTTTTATATCTTGGATAAGTATCCGTTGGCAGTGAGACCGTTTTATACAATGCCGGATCCTAATAATCCTGTGAGTTTACATAACTTATTGTGATCTTTTAGCGATTGTACACTGTTAATTCTCTTACAGAAAACATCGAATTCTTACGATATGTTTATGCGCGGTGAAGAAATTATTTCAGGAGCGCAACGTATTCACGATCCTGAACTTCTTACCGAACGTGCGAAACATCATGGAATTGGTATGCATACTTCTGATTTTTATATGTTAATAATTATAACGCAGTACATCTACAGTTCTTTTTTCTGTATTTTAGACTTAGAAAAGATAAGGTCGTATATCGATGCGTTCAAATACGGTTGCCCTCCTCATGCCGGTGGTGGGATTGGAATGGAGCGTGTTGTTATGTTGTATCTTGGTTTAGATAATATTAGAAAAGTTTCTATGTTCCCTCGCGATCCTAAGCGTATTACTCCATAAATTTTAAACTGCTTATATAATGTTATTTTTAAGTATATAACGTATATAATTGTGCAATTATTTAGCACTAATTGGTAAATAAATAATTTTATAAAAGTTTTAAGTGCCCAGAATTTCTTTGTAAGTAATCATATTGATATTGTAATCATATGAATGTAAAATTTACAAACAGGGAAGTGCTATATCTGCTCCTGGTTTATAGGTATTAATTTTGAATACACCGCGTGTGAAAAAATCTCGTACCAGATGAAGGCTTCATTATGAAGCTTTTAGTAGCATTACATATTAATTATAACTTAATTGCAAAATTAAATCGCCCATAAAAGGGAATCTTAAATTCGATCAGTCAAGATCAGTACTAGTATTTTAAAAATACCGCTATAAATTACAATTTTTTAAAAATTCGATCCTTGCGCCATCTATACAAAACGGTGGAAACTACTTATCGACGGAATAACTTACCGATTGACTTATCGACTGGAACACTAGCGCCATCTATTAAAAAGAGGTGGAAACTACTCATCGAGTGGTTTCAGCCGTTTTCGTATAGATGGCGCCGGAGTCGATTTTTTAAAAGCAATACCTGCTTTATGGCGGTCTTTTTAAAATCCAATTATTCGCTCTTGAGCTGATTTTGACTGATTTCTAAAAAAATAGAATCAATGGGAGTTAAAATTGTGTCTTTTCAGTTGTAAGTGCAAAGTGTGGTAGAAAAAAAACTGGTGAAACTGGCACGATTGTTATACGAACTGTGGTCTGTATATGTAAACCTAATATCAACTCGGGGTGTTTAGGACCCCCCGGGATGGCATCTTTTTGCATCTGTAAATACATACACTCACTATAGTATTTGAAGATGTATACAGTGTAGATTAAAATAACAGCAACAGTAGTAAATACGTAGTTGAGAAGATATTGTTTAATTACCTTATTATTGTGATAATTGATTTTAAATCAGTTGTGGGTTTTTATGATGTAAAAATGGCAGCAGACAAATCATCGATTTTGAACGGTTTTATAGAAGATTGTGAAGAATTAATTGTTCGTTTCGAACGAGCGGACGATATTAGATTTCAGACTTTTTGCGAAATATGGAAAGAGATGAAATTCTCATTGATCTTTACGTGAGTATTGAGAAAAAAAGAACAGTAACATTTTTACATACTATGGTTAAGCATATGAGAGATAACTAATTTTAATTTATATGTATTTACTTTTTAGGGGTCGTCCAAGCTTTTTAGAATTGTTAGAATTTTGTGAAGAAGCTTTAAATATATGTAAACAGTTTCTTCTTTTGCCTCCTCGTTTCAAAGAACGTATTGGAGGATTGTACCTTTTGTATGGAATATACTACAAAATGCCAGTAGAGCAGTTCAAAATTAGAATGAAATTAGATGATTGGCGAAATATTATGGAGCTTCATGCAGAAATAAAAGAGGCAGAACACTTGGATGCTAATTATATATTATGTAAACTAATTACAGATAATGCATTTATTTTTTGTATGTTTGATCAAGAGGTACATTTAATCGAATGTTTCTAACATAAACAGTATTTTACAAATTTCATTCTCATGTTATCTTTTTTGGTTTTAGTTTGGTTTAGAGAAACATTATCGTGTGAAAAATGCACAGTGCTTTAATCCATATTCTGTATTATCAAGTTTGAAAGATTTAACTGAAAAGGGACAAGTATTATCAAAGATTAGTGAATTAAGCAAAATTTATGAATCTAAGAAACAGGCACTGATATGTAGAAGTAATGCAGATGGTTCTTTAAAATTATTTAATGCAAATATAGCTGAGGAAATTGTGGGTGACATTCAAGCTTTAGAAGAACAAAGAAAAAGGCAGCAAATAAAAAATGAAATTGATAAAGAACAGATATATCCTTCAACTTCAAAAGAGGAACATAAAAAATTATCTCATATGTATGTATATTCACATAATAAGATGTTTCTATTAACTGTTTACTAACTTATATAGAGTTATGTTTTTTAGGAAAGGTAATTATAAGAAAAAAATACGCTCGTATATTAATGGTGGCTTTCAATCAGATTCTAATAATTCAGAAGATGAAGCATTAGATGTTGAAGATTATGACTCTGATTCGACAGAAAATTTTGACTGAAAAAAAACGAAAAGAACATTTAATAAAGAATACATCTTTTGTCTGTAAGTGTATTATACTGTAACAATAAACTATAATAGGTTCATAATAGGGAGAATAATGTATTTAAATTATCTTTTTTTATTGAGAAGTGTACAAAATAAGTATCAGGAACAAGTTAGTGAAAATATCAATCATTCAAAATTTAAAGAAATCTTTTATAGAATACATTATGCTCTATCTTATTGTAACTGCATTTTGTACAGACTCTAAATGAAGACAATTCAATTAAATGATGTAAACATCTTTAAAATGAAATTAAATTTCTGAACTTAAAAACTGGATAGAATGTTTTATAGATTTCAGGTGCAAGTTATTTTATCAGAGATTAATTCCAAACATGTAACTTTTCATTTTCACATAACTGTGTGTGTGTATTTATGACGTTAGTAATAAATCTATATACTGAATAGAATTGTTACATTGCCGCGAATAAACATCTATAAGGCTCGCAGCAATAAGTTCACACTAGAATTTATTAATAAACTTTTAGTTGATTATTATCATCAAATCCAGCACTGTGACCTGCATTTCGTACGATAAAACTGGTTCCATCGTAGTGCATGCGTCGTTCACCTCGACGTACAAAAAGATGAGACGTCTGACCCAGGGATGCGGTACAATGTAAAAATGGCGTTGTCAATGAAGCTGTTCCATTACTAGGTGACGTACGTAATTGATACTTGTTACTGTTACGTGCAATCCTATCAAAGAGATAAATCATGTTTTTATCTACTACTTTTCAATTACTGTCATTAAATGAAATACCTAACAAGACCATCAGGTGTTTGTGAAACTCGAACATTATTAACAATCCAGTTTTCCACACCCTCATTGGTCAACCAATATTGAGCAGCATTTAATGCAGCTGCAGCTTCTTGCAAACATGCTGAACCATGACGAGAACGAGAGTAAAAAACGCTTAAAGAAAAGTCCTGAAAGTTGGAATATTCCTTCAATAGAGTTCATTCTATTTTATATTTAAAATATCTTCTTCCTATACCTGGCTCATGTCTGAAAATGAATCTGTCGTTGTTCTCGTCCCTGCCGTATCAACTAAATACACAAGAGCACACTGCTCTGAAGTAAAGCTGACTCCTTTATACCACATCTTTGCATATCTGAGGAAAGATAATAAACCTTATTAATGGTACTTTAATCATGTTACAGATACCACTAACTTGTTATTGCCGTGGGCATCGTGGGCCAAGATTTCAACTCGCGAACCGTACTGATATATTCTTCCATTTGGATGTAATAATGCTGCAGTTGATCCAGAACCACTCAACGATAGTACAATGTTATTCTACGCTGACCATAAATGCAATTCACATAAGAATCATGTAAGCATTATATGTTTATTTTCTGTTTGAGTTAGTAAACTCATAATTTCATATTACTTAGTATACATATATAAATTCTAATCAACATCATTTATGAGTTCTTCAGAAAGGGAGTTCCTCTCGGTATAAAATAGAAGAAAAAGAGGATACCTTAAGATTGATTACTCTAACTGCACGATCGATCGTCATGTCAACCCGAATCCTATTATGAAGTCTCAGAGAAATTGTACCATGCGGTGTTGTAACGATCGCAGCATCAGTGTCATGTTCACGCCAGTTTTCTGCATAGACACACGATTCCTCATAGAACGGTGCAATCGTTTTACAATTACGTGGTTGCCGCCAAAATCCTGTTGAATTAGAATATGCTGTTGCACCAGCCAGTCCGCCCCACTGTTCTGACGGAGGTGCTTCGAAATATTTGGAAAATTCACTGTATCGCTAGAGAGATAGAAAGAGGGAGAGAGAGAGAGCGAACGAAAGATAGAAAAAGAACAGGCAAAGAGTTAACTTTTGAAGATTATTTAGTCCTCGTTGAAAAATATACTTGAAAGTACCTGAAAATTAGTTTCATCTGTCTGCGAGTGATAACTGTGCGCCGTGTAAAGAGATCTGGGTCGCATGGGTGCCGTTGAGGTAGTTTGATTTTGAATTGTTGACATAGAACATTGGTTCACCACTTGGCTTCCTGTCTGAGCATTACACTTTTGGATTTCTTTTCGATGTTCGCCGCAAGGAGTTGCCATAGCTTTTGCCTTTAATTAATAATAAGAAATAAAAATTATTAAAATCTTCAATAAGAAAGAAGAAATAAGGAAGAAAGGGATGTACAAAGTCAGCTGAAACAAATATCTTTACAATTAATTACATAGGAACAAGTCAATGAGATTTCATTGCAAAAGGGGAAAGTTAACGGAAATGGAATTCTATTAATAAACATTTCACGGATCATTAGCTAAAGAATTGGAAAAAGACCTTGGAATTGGCGGCCGCGTTTTTTGGCTTCTTACGACGGGATTTCCGGGGTTTCGACACCGCCGTTTGACCACTCTCGTTTAGGCGATCCACGGCTGAAACGGTTTTAAGTACCTACAAGTTCAGGTTCTTACAAAGAATTGCCACGTCTTTGGCAAGTTTTCTACTATTTGATTTCACGAAGATGCTCGCATGTGTGACTTCAGCCTTGCCTTTTTTTTTCTTCTGTGATCCCACGATTTCGTGGATCGCTTCAAGGAAACCAATACTCGGATTTGTGTAGAGATTTCTACTGAGGATGATGCGATTAGATGATATTTCGATTGAAACAAATGAGTGTCTTGGTTGATTGCTTCGTTGCCCTGACAATAAAAAATGACAAGAGACTAGCAGTAGGAACATTTCAAATGGAACAATTTATTTGATACTTAATTGATTGTGTTCTTTAATTTTATGTAAGGATACAATCATGCACAGCGTTTGAAATATCATGATCATATTTAGTTATAATATAAACAAACAGGTAAATGCAGTTTCCTTTTCTCTTACAGTTCTTGATCTACTTTGAAAGTACGAGTTGCCTCATTTTATAAAAGTATTTAGAACTAAATGAAACATTTATGCAACCATTCTCTTAATTTTATATACATATATTCTTCAGCGCGATATATGTTTCATTTTATTGCAATTTTTCAATGGTAATAAGAAGCAATCAATAAGGAGACTCAAGGCGAAAGGGATAATAATTATCTGTCGACGTGACTGTGATGCAGTAATCGTGTTTTTCCTTTAATATATGCTCTAAATGTTTGCCTATTACATATAATTATGTTTAAATATGTTCATTATGTCAAATAATATTTTATTTTTATCGCAATACTGCTATTATATTTGCATTTTATATTTGCAAGTAGTGACTTGAATGCCCGCTTATTTTTCGCACAATCATTTTTTTGACGTATTGTCCCACAATTATGAATTCAACGATTGAAAACTATAATTTTGACTCGATTCAATGTAATTTGTACGATGACTTGTTAGTATTACAAATTTTCAAAATCTACCGTAACAGTGTCTTATAAACGTATTCTTAATATCATTGAATTTTTGTTTAACAATAGTGAAAATGAAGGTAGATTGATCTACGTAAAAAAGTAATAAATTAAAACATTATTAGGTAATAAATTTGAAATAATAGCAGGCAAAAATGATTGCAAGTCAATGAGCTTATTGCATAACTACGTAGTCGTCGTTTCCTTTATACTTCTTTCGATTGCATACATTATCGTATATCGTAAATTGTTAGAAGTAGATAAAAAAAGTTGCTGATTAAAATTTTGTAGAATACAATTATAAAGAACAATGCCTTGAATAAATTGCATATAATGTTTATTAAATAAACAAGACTAATTGACAAATTTTTTATTAATATTTTCGTTGTGTATTTTTTCAGATACACCCAAAACGTAAGCAGACATGTGGAGTGCAAAAATTGGCCTACATACGAAGAGTATATCTTTTATATTTCATGCGGCTATACAGTTGACACCAATGGAATAAATGTTGGGCACTTGAGTATACAACATATAGCCTTATTGCAAGTAACATTGTATTGTATAATACTGCTTTTCAAATGGTGGGGACATAGGATTTATCTACTGACAGTTCTTAAAGTCCCAGTACGTGCTCGTTCCGCACGTGTAGTAACTCGTGGGAGTTCATTGGTAAATAGGAAGACAATTTTCAAAAATTTTTTTCTAGATTTTCAATAATGATTATACCTAAACTTCTACTCTTCTTGGCTACTATCAGTTTTACTTTAGGTAATTGTTATTTAATTGTTTTACAAAAATTGGAAAGAAATTATGATTTCCAAACAATTAAGCTAAGATTTCTATTAAGATATTATTTTCAACGCTCGAGTATTCAGTTTCAAACACGTCATTGCAATATTTTAAAGTATCATATTTTCATTACTTTTAGAATCACCTGTACAAATTAAAAGCCCTGAGAGGAGTGACGATAAAGATCATGAAAAAGCTAAGAGTAATACGCTTCGTTTAGTTACAATAGTAAGTATAAACTAAAGAACTAGGTAAAAAATATTAAAGTTCTATTGTTTAGTGTTTTTATGTTACTTTTATTTTTACTTCAACTACCATGTACATATATTGAAGGTATTTGCAGTTAGATTAACGTTATCATATGATCAATAAAAGAGATATGGTAGGATCTTTAGTATTTCTTTGACAATGTCTGATCCTATCTTTATCTTGAACTTTTAATTTTTTAAGTTAATAATATGCTTATTGCTTGTTTCGATAGTTATCATTGCTCTTTTAATGATTGTGGAAATAAATTTGTAGGTAATGCGGCATGGGGACAGAGCACCACAGGATACTTATCCAAATGATCCTTATGTTAATAACTCAATGGAACCTTATGGTTGGGGTCAACTGACAAATGTAATAGATTATTCAATTTTCATACGGCATTATCCGATTTAATACTGTGTTACATATGCGTATATATGTATTTATGTAGGAAGGACGAAGAAATCAGTACAATCAAGGACTTTTCTTACGAGAACGTTATAGTCATTTTCTGGGTCCAACGTACAGTCCCGACATATTTTATTTACAATGTACTGCGGTTGATCGTACAAAAATGTCTGCAATGTTGGAAGCAGCAGCTTTATGGAAACCAAACGAAAAACAGTCATTTAAGCCTGATCTACCTTGGCAACCTGTCACTTTATTCTATCAACCACGTTCAGAAGACACGGTATGCATATATTTTATTTTACAGCATGAATGATTTTCATTGTGCGTTTGTGTTGATTAGTAATTTATATATTCATAGTTGATGCTAATATGGGATACATGCCCAAAATATACCAAATTACGACAAACAGTTAATAGTTTACCGGAAGTTCAAAAAGTTCAAGAAGATAATAAACAATTGTACAAGAAATTAACAAACTTAACGGGTATGGTAATTTCAAATCCAGCTGACGTAGGTTCGCTTTATTCAACATTAACAGCAGAGGTTTATGTCAATTTTAATTGTAAACTGAAAATGAAATAAGTATACATTAAAATCATGTTTCATCAACATTTTTAATATTTTAGAAACATATGAAATTAACTCTTCCCGAGTGGACTAATGATTATTATCCTGATAAATTAATACCATTAACATTATATGATCTCCAACTCAATGTATATAATGATCCTTTAAAAAGACTGAAAGGAGGACCTTTTCTTAAGAAGATTGTTATTGATATGCTGGCAAAAAAAGACAATACTTTAAAGCCTCAAGAAAGGAAAATGTTTATGTATATTGGTCATGACAGTTCTATTGTAAGTTTGTTAGATGTCATGCATGTATGGAATAATCAAATTCCGAATTACAATATCATGACAATGATTGAATTACATGAAGATAGTTGTGGATGGAATGTTCAGGTAAAAATTCATATTGTTTATGCGTCGAGTTAACAATTTAAAACTGCGCGGATATAAAAATCACTGCAACAATTTTTTCTTAGGTTTTCCTAAGAAATACCACTGAACGTGAACCGTATCGTTTGACGATTCCTGGATGTACAACAATTTGTCCTCTTGAAAAATTTATACACATTTTAAAACCCATGATACCAGACAATTGGGAAGAAGAATGTAAAGTCGATGGAGATTATACACTCCCACCCGCTCCAGTTCCTTGAATATAATTTATTTTATAAAAATGTAAAGTGAGCAATAAGTGATTTTATTATTAAAAATTTTAATTCTGTAACGCACAAATAAAAATTACAGGATAAAATATGTTACATATTTCCGGAAGTATTAGCAGAAATAAAATAATTTCAAGTTTCGTTATACACACATATTTACAATTGAATTTATTTCATTCCATATACATACTAACATTTCACATAGTCTATTATTTTGCTATAAAAAATATGTACTTATATAAAACATGAACGTACGAGTTACTTATAAGCAAATCTTACAATCAACTGTTTATGTTCTTAGGCAAATATTTTCTCTTCTCGACGTTTTTTCGTAACTACTGTGCCAGGTTTGTGTTGAGCGTCTGGATGATTCAACAATTCAGGAGGACAGGTAGATATTGGACTCGAAAGGATTGTTTGTTTTAGATCATAGAACAGGTGACTATCATCCTTTGTACAGAATGAAATAGCAAGACCAGCTTTTCCTGCACGACCAGTTCTACCAATACGATGTGTATAATCTACAAACAGGTAAAAAATTGTTAGTAATTTAAAAAAATTTTTTTTTGTAATAATATGTACAGGATATTTACCTTCTATAGTCTTAGCCATATCATAATTAATAACCATAGATACGTCTTTAATATCGATACCACGACCTGCGACATCGGTAGCTACTAATATATCTTTGCTTCCACTCTTAAGAGATGCAAGCGCATATTCTCTCTGTTCTTGCCCTTTACCACCATGAAGGGTACAAGCATTATACTGAAAAATAATAAAGATAGTGAAAAAATAATGTAATATTTGATAGTAAGATGTTATAGAAAATAATTGAAGAACAAACGTACGCCTAGTTTTTCTAGACCTCTTGCAAGAACATCAGCGCCCTTCTTTTGATTAACGAATATAATAACTGGTGGTTCAACACCTCTGCTAAGTATTTCCATAAGTTTCTTGCGTTTATCAGCTTCTCCCATTATATGAACAATTTGTTCTGTTCTTTCTGTTGGTTTGCCCACGCTACCAATATATACAACCGCGGGCCGCCTTAAGTAAGTTCTGGCTAGTCTTTCTACCGCAGGAGGCATAGTTGCTGTAAACATTACAGTCTGAAAACAAAAGTAATAATAGTTGTTATTTTGAGGCATTAAAAACCATGGAATAAACTATTATTTCTTACCTGTCTGTATTTTTTCTTCGTATTATAATTGGCTAATAGTTTTTCTTCATTTTCGGCATCTTCATTGTCCGGTTTTAGATTTGTAACTGGCATATATTCCAAAATTTTTTGAACATCTGGAAATTCATATAAAAATTAGTATTTGGATATAAAGAAACACATACTGAGGAACTTACCTGGTTCAAAACCCATATCTATCATTCTATCAGCTTCATCCAATACAATATATGTACACTGATTTAAAACCAAGTATCGATTTTCTAATACATCTATCAAACGTCCTGGTGTGGCTATTACAATCTGTAATAGTAAAAAGTTATTTGAAATATCAAAAACAAATAATGGGTAGTGCACTGTTTTTTTTTTTTGTATTGTATTAAGAAAATACCTCACAACCCATTCTTAATCTAAATCCTTGTTCTTCTCTAGAAAGCCCACCAACAACGACGACTGTTCTTATACCTAGTGGTTGCCCAAATTTATTTGTCTCTTCTTCAATTTGCTGAGCCAACTCACTAGAATTATAGTTTTTTTAAAATAAATTTCAATATTTTAAATAACAAATAGAAGTAATTAAATAACTTTACGAATGATAAATTTACCGGGTTGGTGCTAAGATTATACTGTAAGGACCCTGATCTGCTTCTTCTAATCTTTCGATCTTTGGTAAACTGGTAATCCATAATAATAGAGGAATTAAGAATGCCAGGGTTTTTCCAGATCCGGTTTCAGCAACGCCAATAATATCGCGATTTTGCAATCCGATAGGAATAGCTTGTCTTTGAATAGGCGTTAAGTCTTTGTACCCCACTTTATCAATAATATCAAGAATTTCTTTTGGAAATCCTGATTCTTTCCAGGACCTAATAGGATCAGGAATACGTCCTCCTTTTATTGTGATATTATAATCCTCTCTAAATATACGCCAATCTCTTTCTGTCATCTCGTGTAAGGCTTTCTCTGACCAATGTCTATCATCCCACTTCTGCTTCTCTTCTTTACGTTTCACCTTTTTCAATCTCATTCTACAAAAATATAAAAAAATATAGAGACATTAATAATATTTATATTAACAAAAACAAAAGGTAACATACTTCTCTTGTTCTTTTTCTGCTTCTGTTCTTCTTTTCTCTAGAAGCTCTCCATAAAATTTGCTTTGATCTCGTTTTTGTGCTTTGATATCTATACCAGCAAGATTTCCTCTACCAAAGAATTGAACCTGATGCCTTTCTTTATAAATACTGTTATAGTCAACAGATGTATCCTCTGAAGTATCCCAATCAAACACAAATTTTCTATCATTTAGTCTTCTAACACGACGTTTTTTCTTTACCAATCCTAAATAACGCTCCTTAATAGCTTCTACTTCTTTCTCCTTATCTTTGTCCTTAATTTCCTCTTCTCTCGCGCGTTGGCCTTCTCTACGCCTATATCGTGAATTATTAAATGAATATATTTACATAATGTAAATTTAATTAATATACTTGAACATTATATACCTATCCCTATCATCCCATTCTCTATCTTTTCCAGTATTTTCATTATGAAAGAAAGATTTTCGTGCTTCCTCTTGTTGCTTTCTCATAGCTTCAACTTCTTCTTGTCGCTTTTGCAATGCTAAAGCAGCACGTTCTTCTTTAGTTAAAAATTTTGGTTTAGCACGTGCTTCCTCCTCTGCTTTCTTTTTAGCTAACAATTCTTCCAAACTGAGCGGTTCCTTCTTTGGAAGAGATTTTGTCTTTTCTTCACCTTCCTCTTCCTCCTTTTTTTGTTCATTCTTGTTGTCCTTTTTATTTTCATCGTCTAAGACAAATATAGGACTTGGTTTACGTTTTTTATCATCTTTTGATTTATCTTTAGATTCTCGTCTTTCTCTTGATCTATCCCGATCTTTTTCACGGGATCTATCCCTTTCTCTTGATCGTTCTCGTGATCTCGATCGTTTCCTATCCTTTTTTCGATCTTTTGATCGGCTTCTTGATCGCCTTCGATCTCGTCGTTCTCGTTCTCTTTCACGATCGCGATCACGTTCACGCGACCGACTTCGTCTTACAGTCTTTTTATCATGAGCCATGGAAAATTCTTAACTAATTTATTCAATTGTCTGTAACAAATAATGCAAAACCTTGAAATCATTGAGGTTAGAGAACTAAAATTTAAATATTAAGTAAATAATAATGTAAAAATGACAAATTGTTGCACGGGGAATTGTTTCTTATAATACTTAATTACAATCAACTTTAGTAATGTTATATTAAACATTGTCAAATATAACGACAGAATACATAATACTATCACAATAGGTGAAATTGTCAAATAAAGTACGTTTTCGTGCGTTTTTAAAAATTGATTTATTAACAAACATGTGAATAATATTAATGTTTCTTGTAAAATGCATACTGACAACTTACTTTTTCCAAAACAAACGTAATCAACTTTACATATGATAACGACGCACCTATACAATCAATTGCATATGGTGTACTCTATTTCTGGTTGTCTTTTCAATGCAGGCGACGCATTTTTACAGCCTTGTGTGCAATTGGCTTTATATTAATAATTTTTTACAATTAAATAACTGCAATTGTGATTTGCAATGGGGTAAAATAAAAAGTATATACAAGGTTACTTAGGATTTCAACAATTATTTAATTGTATCAAAATCCTGAAAATTTATCATAAACATGCAGTGCATAAGAAATATAATAAGAACATTAAATGTTACGTTTATGAGTTATTTTCTTTTTATTAGTAAAGTTTGTTTTTTATATTGCTTGCTGCATTAAATGAAAAAAAGAAACGTAAAAAAAGAATAGATATCCTAAATTAAAGTAGAAAGCTAAGGTAAAGTTGGTTTGGTTTCTACTCTACTTAAAGTAAAAGGCTTGTAAACTAATTATACAAATTTGTATTCAAATACTTTTTGTTTCTACATGGAAATGTTTAAACATTTATGATTCAGTAAAATTTATCAAATATTTGCCGCCCAATTGTAGATCGAGTCCTTTGCATCCATTGGAGAATACTGTGTAAAATTTTGGACGAATAGGAATCGAAGCATCAGGAGAGCCAGGGGCAAGCTCAATAAAGGGCGCTAGTGTCCGTCAAGTGTCACAGCCGTTGCTCGTCTCTTCAGTATTGTAACTTAAATCGGTGATTTAATTAGGAATAACGTATTTTTTTCTAGAATTTGTGAAACTTTAAGCAATAATGACCGACAAGAAAGGTAACTATACATCGTAATCGCGTAATTCGACTAGCAATATGTGTTACACACGTTAAGAATATTTCGTGTTTTCGAGTCGGGAATACCACTTGTCACTCGTACGACGGAGTTTTTTTATGTTAGCGATATTATTCGATACTTGTGAAAAATGGTGCACATTTAAATTCGATCAAAGCTCGTATCTTTATTATACAAACGAACTCTCGTCTTAATACGATGAAGAAAACTTGAATTTCTGCCCAGTGACAGATAAATCAATACCGCATTGTGTGTGGGAAATACAAAATGGCTTCCAGAGTTCGTCTTGAATAATTTTCGCGATGACTCTTTATTAAGAGTCTTATGTTGTTTAAAACATCCTATTTTTGTACAATAATATCAGTATTGTTAGTTTTGTGTCATATGTAACTTCACTTGTCTATTTTTCATTGGAACAACTGATGTAGCATACTTAAGAACGCATTACATATATCTATATACATATATATGTATATCAATTGTGATATGCTGTACGCGTTTGAAACAATTTATTGAACGCTAGAGCAAATGATACTATTTCATTATATATTCTTACTTTTTTTTACTACAAAACAGGAAAAATATTAATTGAAATATTTTTATAAAATATTTTATATAACATTTAAAAATATTAATAATGTTAATGATAAAGAAAGTATAGAAATTTTTTTTGAATGATACTTGAATTGAACACAAGAAGTACTACTCTTTCTATATGCAGAAACAATTAAATAAATAAAATACTTTATGTCATACATTTCTATAGTATGATTAATTTGTAATAAAATATTTTGCTCTTTGTAATAAATGTAATCAAGTAATTTTAATTGGTATTATGCTAAAAAATGATGCAGGATTTGATTGTGAAATATTCCTGGAAGCCATTTATATTTTGGTTTTATTTCATGATGGTGCATACAAATGTATAAAAATGATTAGAAATTGTGTTTATTTATGACCTTAAAATACTTGTAATAAAATATAATTGTTATTTTTATAATTTACAGTATTCAAATAATATAATTTTGATAACTTAAAGTTTATTATACACAAAATAAGTTCTTTGCAAAAAAGAAAATAAGAATTGATATCACATCTATTTGATAGAAATGAGTTTTGAATTGTTTTCATTAAGATTTCTAATCTTTGTGTATCAAAATCAATTGATACTATATATCAAAGACCAGTTCTTAATAATTGGTACATATTAAAGCTTTCATAAAGAAGTTGGTTAATAACTCGTACGAGTGAGGTATGTAGTTTAATATTATCACTGATTTTCTTAAATTTTATACGTCCATATGGAAGTACTTGACATACAGCTTGGACCACTACACGATTTCATAGTAATCTACTGTCATACTTAATTAACAGCTCGGACACTTATGTGATTATTCCTAATTCAGTCCGCTCTGTTCCTAAGGCAGACATATGATTACAGAGCATAGCGTTTAAGGGATGTGTAAAAGTTTAGTCTGTAAGTAAATCAGTATACACTGTTAGTGATACAACGTGAGTTAATACGAGAATCGAGGATAATACTGGTGCAAATCTGCGAGCGTATTACCGTGACGGTATAGCCGCTAAAAAACTGAAGGATAGCGCCTACAGTTGTGGCTGTCAATATGTTTGCAGCGGACCATTACAAAGACGATTTGATCCCAGTCAGTAGGTGGAGCTTCGGAGACCGGCGTTCGCGCAGCCTAAGCCACGTATCTAACCTCACCTTACTCTATATATTACCTAACTCACTACGTGTTTATATACCAACATATATTACGTATACACACACACATATATATATATATATATATTCCACCAAATATATATATGAAGATATAGACGCACCGTGCGCCTCCCGATTCAAAAAGTGAAGGAAAAAAAAATGAAATTCGTGAACATCGAATTGCCTTTGTTTCCCACCTTCCGGTCGTTCAAGTGATCAATTTTTGACCAGCCTCGTCCGGTGTCGTTAAACGCCCTATCGGCAGATTCAAACCCCACAAGAAATCGTGGATTTACCTACTGGTTTGTAAAAGCAACATAAAGAATGAATATCGCGAAACAATATTGGGAAATGCCACGTTAACTAAATTGATTCGATAGACTAATGCTAGTTTCCTCGTTTTTCCAGGCCTGCGTTGGTTATGTTACTCAGAGTCGGCAAGTATTAAAAAAAAGCATCGGAAGAAATCCGAGAAATACGAGTTAAAAAGTGGTTGCTCGTTGAAAATCTGCCGGTCTAAAACGGAAGTATGATACACGAGCGTGCTCCTCGTGTATACGATTGAAGAAATGACACATAACTTCCAACCGCCGCGTACAATTAAATGGCGGGCTTCTCGAACGAAGCCGTCGCCTCGCGACATTCTAAAAAATCGCTTAAATAGAGATCGCTTAGGATCATCAATGGTATTTGTAAGTTCTTTGAAAAATGAATTTATCGATCGACACTTATACTTTTTGAATTGGAGACGTCGGCTGCTATATATCCAAATCAATATGAACGTAAGATATTGATATGGGTGTACAAATTACTTTGTACTGAAACCGTGGTATTGGCTGATTGCTTATTTTCTTCTCATTTTTTCTACTTTTTTTTTCTATTTTTTTTAAAAATATTTTTTTCTGTTTTAACACTCGCCGTCTATCTTGTGACAAATTTTCAAGAGCGAAAAATTAGCATTTGAGGAGAGTAAAACATTAATGATTCTTTTCTTCTTTTTTTTTCTACGAATAAATTAATTTCTCTTAGAAAAATGATATGTTACAAGATGGTACGGCGAGTTAGCGGGGTGGACACGAATGCTGTATTTAAGCTCAGCGTATTTATAATACTTCTACTCAATAGAAACTTGGTAGCTCACTTTTAACAATAGTGCATGTTGCTTCGACTTGGGCTACAAGTTTCTTAATGTAAAAAAATTAATTACAGAAAAGTAAGAATGCTAATTGATCTATTTTTTATGTACTTTACGCGAGTTACATGATCGAATGTCTATTTTCTTTTTTTGAGATCATGATACAAAGTAAATCAGGATTAAACCAGTTTTATTAACAGATGAAACTTGTGGTCGATTTTGCACGTACGTGTAGTTAATATATAATGATAAATATATTTCTTCCTTCAAAAAAACAGTAGCATATTGTTTATTTCCGTTTAATTGGAAAAGAAAACATAAAGTATAGCGTATATACGTATACATACGTACACTTACGTACAAGATACTCGTTGAGCAATTTTTTAACTCGTTCCAAAGTCAATATTAATATTGCAATTAAAGTGTTGCAAATGATAAAAGAAGAAAATGAACATAGAACATGGTTCATCGATTCGAAGAAAATAGAATGAAAAGCGATGAAACGTGTTTTACAAAATTTCGTCTCTGATTTATTCAAACTGTATGACGTAGGGAGAGAAATTTTGAAAGAAATTACGTTCGTCCGCATATTTAATCGATTTTAATGTGCAAGTATATACATGTATACGTAGCTTTGATCATTTTTCACGTATTTGTATTTTAGTTTGCATGCTTGGAATGTGTTTGCTAGAGAAACACAGGGACGTGCGAGTTTCTTTATCGTGATTAATAATTTATCAGTGTTATCTTTTTCATCGAGCAACGACCGAGAGAAGTCGGTTGAAAAATGACGGATTTAAGATTTATTTAAAAAAGTAGCTCGCACGTCATGTTTAAAATAACTGCATGTTTATGATATGTTGTTATTATAGATTTTTCCATAATTCTATCTTTTTTACGTTTGTTCGACGCTCGTTGCCTTCTCAAATTGTCAAATCATTCGATCTTTCTCTCAACAATTGTATTATTTACATTTAAATTAATCATTACAGATTGACTTTGAATCTTGACGTTGAGAAGGAATCGAGCGAATTGTTTTAGTCGTTTTTTGATCGTCGTGCAGCTGAACAATCTCGTGTAAAGGTCTTAGACTCGATACAGAGACGTTCCTATATATTCCTGTCGTGAACGAACCATCGAATTCATTAACATCATGAAATTGAAAGATTTCAAGAATCGTTGGAAAAATTGGTTCGATTGAATCACTATTTGATACCTTCAAACGATACAAGGAAAAAGACGAAAATGGTCATAGGAATCTCTCGAGCATTTTTGAACTGCATGTGCATGTTTGGCAGAGTATATCATGTATACTGTTAATAGTGAGCTTAAAATATGAGATACAAAGTATTCAATGATATTAATCGAGAGGTATCAAGAATACAAAAGTGTCTCTACTTTCTGAAACCCAGCGGCCTGGATATGTTCGAGGAACGACAATCATTAAACAGGGAAATGTGATTTTTGGTTTAAATATTTTAATATATCAATGGGAATTTAGTCAATTAATTATGGATCAATTTTAATCATTTGAATTTTTTCTAATAGAGTAGAATAAAATGATTGCTATTAAAGTAAAATGAGAAAACAGAAAGCATCGCGAAGCGCCGACTTCTGCTTTAGAAAGATAATATTTTCTTTTACTGGAGATACACCTGTGAAATATTTTAATGTTTTTAGAGTACTTGTTCATTAATTTTCATTTATAAAAGAAGCTCGATATTGGGTACGCAGTGACTTATCTTTAATGGAAACATTTGGTGGTAGTCTTTAAGCATAAAGAAGCTTTTCATATTTGGAATATCAGATTGTCGATCACATCCCTTGGTCGCTGGGTTGCTCGAGGTACGAAGACTGTTCCACCGAAGCATTGTCGATGAATGAAAATCGTCTAGCAATCCTAGATGGGCCGCAAAACAATGAAAAGAAAGAAACAAGAACAGGGGCGTGATTAGCCCAGTTTCTTGCGCGAGAAAAAAAAAAAGATCATTCAGCAAATTAGGTCGAACATGCTCATTGGGACAAAATTAGGTTTCGAAGATAAGACAAAAGAGAGAAAGATGAGAGGAATGCGTGCGTGTACGAGAGAAAGGAAGGGAGGAAAAAAAAAAAGAAAAAGAGTCGAAGGAAAAAAAAAAGAGGGAGGCAGAGACAGAGAGTCGGGGGAAAAAAGAAAGAAAATTAGGAGAAAGAACGTAATGAGAGAAAGAAGCAGAGAATACATTGTTGAAAAACTTACCCAGTAAACTCGTACTAGCATATAAATATTATTGATCAATTGTTATTGGATTCGATGATTGTTTGCACCGTGGCACTGACACATGAATTTATTATTCCATTGAATACTGATCCGATCAATGAGGATCCACGAGCCTCGACATTCAACACCGTTTCCAGCAAACCGGAAACGGTATCATCCTACACTTCTGTACGAGATGATAAAGAGTAATATAACGTAATTCGAGAAGAGTGCTCGTTTCCACGCGTTGGACCAGTATTCAATTATCATGGACAATTTGGTGTGGGCTGACGTCTATGTTAGAGTACAACATGTCCATCCACTGTCGCTGAGCTTGAGCTATTTATCATACGCGAGGCTAAATCTATTTTAACGTTAAATTCACTGAATTGGCTAGACAACTTATTGAACTATGTGTATAATAAAAAAAAAAAAAAAAAAAAAGAAGAAAGAAAGAATGAAACACACAGCTTGCTTCATCCTTCCTTGCAGTTGGTTAGCGTGAATGCAATTTGCGTATATTAAATAGCAATGGCACAGGGCGCAATTTAGTCTCTACTTAAAAAAAAAAAAAAAGAAAAAAAAAGGAAATTGGGCGTTCTCGCGATTGCTAGCGAAGGAATGAGCAATTTAATCATATTATACGACAAAGTTTGCTCGTGGCAAGTGTATTATTAAGCGAGCAGCGCCCAATTAATAATATATATATATTACGCAATTACAAAGAACTTTTAATCATGTTTGACCTTTATTTATGGATATTTGCAGAAATTTGTGGTTTGCTGAATCTTGTCACAACTTTTTTTGAATGTGTGGAACTTGTTATATGTATACATATATACACGTATGTATACACATATATTGTACCATGAACGTGTATACGTACATATGTATATGTATACTTCTCTTTTTTTTTCATCGTACCACTGTACTCATTGTATAAATTACACATTCACCGCCCGATACGATTGAATAATTTCTCTTCGGTTAATCGAAACGAAAAATCGTAATTGAATTGGAACATTAAGTCTTACTTAATCGAATTTTAATTAACTGGGCTTGTTTTTTTTTTTTTTAACATCACTTTTATATGGAACAAACTGTTTACCCTTCTTAACCCATGGCTTTATTTTTTAGCTCTGTTTTTTTTCTATTTGTCATTTCCTTCTTTTTTTATATATATATTTTTTTTCGTTCTTTTATTTTTTGACGTAGTCGAACCTGAATGTTTCACGACTGTGTTTAAAGATCGTTTGCAATTTTTAATTGTAATCTTTGTATATTTGAGATCAAAGTTCTTTCTACAATGCATAGAGTGGTCAGTTGATAAATATTTTAAGGTTCGACTAATTTAGACGAATGTATTTGGCTTTTACCTTTGATTGCGTAACGCTATTTGCTTTGAGATCGGTTTCGTATTATATCTTAGTTTTAGAAGTAAAAGGTAGGTCAATTAACGCGAGTTTTCATTTGAGAATAGTTTCTCATTTTCTTCTTCTCGTTCTTATCCTCCCTCTGTTTTTTGTATCTTTTTTTCTTTTTTTTTTTCCACCTTCAATATTTCTGACAGACTGCCTGACGATTCTTTTGACTGTCGAACATTTACACATCATCCGTAGTGGCTGTATTGTTAGACTTGTTTGTACAATTTTTCTGTGTATTTACGTTCTAAGAAGGTGAAAAGAATTCGACGAACTTTTCCATTTTGTTTTTCTTTAAAAAAATGAAAAATAAAAAAAAAACGAGACTTCCATTGAATTTTAGTGACAAGATGTACCACAGATTGCTCCATGTCAGATTCCAAATATATATATAATATACGTGCTGTTGTTCATTTATTCACGGTTAAGATATCAGAAACATAGTTTGCTAAGCTATTCTCAAGTGTCTCGCTTTCAACTACGTTTCTATCGAGAATCCTCCAAAGTAAATGAAAGAAATTTTTCTCATTACATGTTTTACCATTTTTCTGATAATTAAAGGAAAATCAAATTGTACATGGAACATGGATTTTCGAAAGAGTCGTAAATGTCTTTTATTATTAAAATAAAGCCTGTCTTGTGCCATTGAAGTTTACGCGGCTATGCATTGTTAGTTTTCTTTTTTTTCTCTTTTTTTTTTATTTAATTTCTAACACGTTCCGATTGTTATTCTTGTTCTCCACTTGTATGAATCAAACGATTGCGAACTGCAGTGTAAACTCGAAGGGTAACAAGAAGGCAACAATACCGTTTTTTCGGTTATTTCTTTTCACCATTATTTAGTGACTAACATTGTTTGAGCTTTGAATAGTACCTTGATAAAAACGGTGTATGTCATGTGTAAGATATACTTGGGTGTGGGAGTACCACTTGTTAAATCGAGATATATTAGATGCCTAGTCTGAATAAGATCATTTCTCTATATATATACACACATAAGTATCAATAATTCAAGTGAACATAAATTTTTATTTGACAAAAAGACACGCGTCAAATATGTCTCGATAACGACAACACGAATTACACGATGATTAGGAAACGATAGGAGGAACTTACCAAAGAAATTGATGTTAATTTATGTTTTAAGTTGAATGGTTCCAACGTTTCCTGTATTATTGTTAAAACGTGTTGTCATCTGTCCTTTCTGGCAGTGGTACCACGTACCGTTGGCTTAGATCGAACCTGCGGCCAACAAAATGAACGGACCTGCATTTTGCATTGCATGTGTTACAGCGTACCCGGTGACACCTCATCCACCAACAGGTTTTGTCCCTGCGCCGGCACAACCTGCTACCTACGGTGGTACACGTAAGAGAATCATCTCAATGTGTTTCGATGTGCCGTTTTTTTTTTTTTTTTCTACAAAGGTGTTCCAAACGAGCCGGATTACATGCGAGCTTTTAACATTAGTTGCAGGTGCCGCACCGTATGGAGTGTTTCCTAATCAACCACAACTTTATGCAGCGCAAGGTCCACCACCGCCTACATATGATCAAACTCTTACCCATCCGATGGTGAGAATTCCATATCAAAAATACACTTTTTTATTTTAAGATTAAAGGTAATAAATATCTTCTTCTTGGTTACTTTATTCTTTGAATCATTAATGAAAATGTGTTATAAAAGTGCTATGTTGTAGAAGGGTCATCTACATTTTAGTAATATCATGAATATTTTTAGATGTATCAACCTATGTATGGTCAAGGATATCCAGGATACTTAGCGGGCTCATGTTATCCTGCCTATGGGCCATTGCAATATTATCCCCCGTTGGCTGCAGCTGCAGCGTATTACCCAGCGATGCAGCCTCCAGTTAGACCTCCTACACTTGTGATGCCCGTAAGTTGTTCGGATTAACTTTCATTCATTTTCTTGTAATACTTTGAACAATCGTTGATTTGTACTTTGTATTTTAAAGAATGGGTTCGATGCTACCAATCGATTTGATAGTATCTCACAACCCGTCTTGCCACCGCCACCAACAGTTCCAAATGCGGCCCAATTAGCTGCAATGGCAAGCCACAGTGTGGCTATATCGCAAAAGAAAAACTTCCTAGGAGGAGGAACAGAAGGCGGTTACACCTTTTGGTAAACATTATAAACCTTTTGTGAAACACTAAGTCTAAACAAAGGCATTGTTGTCAAGATGATCCATGTAGGCAAATCTGATTTGTGTTAGAGTTCTACTATTTTCACATTGGGAGCAGCTATTGATTAGTATATTTTATGCGTGGACCGATCGCGAAGATGGCATTTTCCTACGCGAAATTCGCGACGTTCCAAAGCATAGTACATTTTTGTTAGTTTGTTTTTTTTTTCCATGGACTCCAATAGACAAGGTGGTTTGCTGATTTATTGTAAAAGCAAAAAAAAATAAAAATAAAAAAAAAACAAAAAAAACATTTAAAAAATATGTGATTTCAAGATCTTGGCAATTGGTCGGCGCATCGAATATACTAAGATTTAAGAAGAACATTTAAGAAAGGAAGACTCGTGCGACGCTCGTTTATACAATTTCAAAACTGCTAATTAAATTTAACTAAGAGAACAAGAGAGCGAGAGAGAGAGAGAGAGAGAAAGAGAGTAAGAAAGACCGTATTTTGTACAACTAAAATGCATGGAAATTTCTTAAGGATCAACGAATTGATCCTGTCTCTGAATTGGTATCTGATAGTAAATTACACTCATTGATGGTGACTTTACGAGATGATCGAGCGATACATGAATCTTTTGACGTACTTAAAATAGAATTTAAGATGATAATTCTAACTCGAAGGACAAAATATTCTTTTTAAATTATACGGCTCCCACACGATATACAGAGTGAAATATTTTCAGTATTTAGAATCTTACAAAATTTCTTTGGAAATTGATCAATAACTTTCAAGTACGGTTTGCTCGATCTTTCTGCAGTTAACATATATTCCAAGGCGCACGAGATATTCCATTTTTTTTCATTTAAATAGAAAGGTTTACTAAACGTGAGCGAGAGTAGGGAACACGGCGTTGTTCTTCTTTTTAGAGTTAACGGGTAAATACGCGCACCAGTGGATGCGAGTTGTCTCATTCGCCTACAGGGATCGATATTCAAAGTGTGTTCTAAGCCTTTTTTAAGCGCGACTTGGTTTTCTGCAAGGCAGGCTGAAGAGTTAAAGGGGCTGCTCACGTTATTTCTGTTACTTTCTACACGATTATATATTTTTTTCGATGTTTTTTTTTTTTACTCCCCCGATGTTGTCGACACTCTAGCGAGGTCTGTTTTCCAAAGTAAAGTCACTACTTTGTAACGTAATCATTATGGGTAGCCCTAATGTTTAGAGAGAAGAAAAAAATATGTACGTGATAGGAGTCTGAGGAATGCGTGAGAGTCATTCGTATACTTGCGATGCTAAACGTCGCGCTTTCTTATTTTGAATTTAATGAATCAATCGATAATAAAACTCTTCAAAGTTCCATTTTTCTTATAGAAAATTTTGATGAAAATGAATAATTACAGACCTCAAAACGTTTCTTTTCGATATCGTTAGAATCATTGGTTTTAAAACGCCTTTTTATGACTTAAGAGAAAAAGTAGAGGTAATGTTTAAGGCTCGAGTGCCAAACAAAAAATAAAACGATTCTCACGTATTCGACGACTTCGAAGATACTTACTAACTCTACCTAAAAGTACGCACTCTCTTCTTTAAAATCAGTAGTCTTTCTTCCTAGTTGTTTGATCTTTCTTTTTTTTTTGTTTAAACGCAGATTAGCTAGGTTGGCTAACAAAGTTATTATTTAATTGAAATGAAAGGCTTGTCCATGGCGTTCGAGTTTCTTTAAGCAGGTTAAATTGTGCTTTGATAGAAATCAATAACATCAAATGTGTCTGAGATATTCGCCATAAAATATTTATCAATTTCCAACTACCTGTTCAGGTAACGTTTAAAGTATATAGTTACAACTTCGTCGCAGTAAAAGTATTAATTAACTCATTTATTAAATGACACTTAAATTTCTTTTGTTCAAGTAAAATCTTATTTGAAAAAAGTTTTCTAGCAACTGTATGGAAATTGATTTCAACCAAAGCACACGAAGGAAATAAATAGTTGACTCAATTTCAAAGTACAAATTGAATATCAATGTAAGTAGAGGGAAAATTCGTAACGACGTGGACAAGCCCTTGTGTCAGCCATATTAGGCGAGTTGCGATGATGATGATGATAATGACGATGATGATGATACGGCAAGCAACGCAGCGAGTTCGTAACGCCTACGATTATATACAATGCAGAATTGTTAACAATAACAATGTGCTATTTTCTGAGAACTTGAGATCTAATTCTACAAGAGTGAAGAGACACACCACACATAAACACATATACACACACGAAAGAAAAGAAAATTCTGGTGATCATATGAACTAGTTGCACACACAGCTGCGAAAACGACTGTTTTGCTCCGCGATCATAGCATTATAATATAGTGCGGTGTGAACCTGCTGATAGGATACTTGTGATAGTTCCACTCTGCAGGTGCACAATTAAACACGATATTAATTAAGCAATGAAGATCGAAGAAAACTAATTTACAATCGGTGATAGCTTAGGATAGGACCAAGAAACGCAGTTCTATTTAGAAATTTTTCGTATGGATGTTCCGGCAAACTTGACCAGTACTCTTAATATGTTTCGCATTATGGTTTAAATGAGGATGGGTGCTTGACGAAGATGAAAACGAAGACCCGTCCTTGGTGTTAGAAAAGTGATTTCTACCTCTCCTTGAGAGAGAGAGGAAAAGAGATTAGAAAGAATTGCAATTTAATTGAATGTGAATCATATGTGATTTCTATTTTATCTTACGAACTTATTAGTTGAATTTCTACGAAAAGTTTATCGCTTGAAAGGTGTTGTAAAATTGTTTACATCCGTTTCAAAGCATTGTCCAATATTTTCTAATTTTGCATATTACAACGCAGTAATTTCCTAAAAAGAAGAAAAAAAAATGAACACCGTGTTATTTGTATTTTTGTGATATACAATTACCTCAAAATCGAAGGAACAGAAAATACGTAGGTACTTTGTCTTGTTTTGTACCATCATCGAATCTAGTTCAATTTCCATATGAAGATGCAAAAGAAAAAGATTCAAGCAAAAATATAACACACGCAATGATTGGAAATGAAATTTTCGTATAAGGCGAAACACACTGGCCAAATTTGTTGCCACAGCGCCATAACTTAACATTCACCTTGTACCTTCAATTCTTTTTTTTTTCTACCAGATGTACCTACAGTTATTCAACATTTATGACCAGCGTTTGATAAAGAAATCAAGCGTAAATCTCAATCTAACTAAAAACAAAAATAAAATCTAGTCCGAAGTGTCTAACTGATTGGGATACAAAATGTTACGCATAGACCTCGTTTTTTTTTCTCAATCTGTGCGATGCCAGGTGCGAAATATTACCCGAACATTCACTAATAATATATAATATCTCGTGACATCTGAGAAAAAAAGAAATTGACAATTTTTTTCCAAAACTCATGCCATTCCACTTAACGACATTGAGCCACAATTGATAAAAACACGTGTACGAGTCACATTTAGGAATTTTTGAGACACGCGTATGAAGAAGAATTAGCGAAGTTGTGTCGTTGCCGATATGTAATCACTCTCGTTGAATTTTTTTGCGAGTTTGCATATCAGCGAAGAAGAGTCGCTTGTTGCAAAAAGTCACTTCGCTCATCTAATTACATTGCGCAAATCAGTGCACCAAGAACCACCTCAATCTATGCAGCTACATTATATACAAGAATCGAACGTTCATTCTGTTTTAATCTTATACGAGAAAGATAAATGGAAAACAATCCAAAGCTGAATGTCTACCTTTTTCATAGAAACTTGTACACAAACATACGAAGAAGAAAGTGGATTATGTTGTGTTGATATTTATATTTAAATTATTATTACTATTTAAACAATTTATTTGCAGACATTTCTACAGTTTAGATCAGAATTTACGCAACACATTTTGACCGATTATTTTGTATCAAGCGAGAGTGGTGGAAAGGTTTTATATCATGAACAAGTGTGCAATAAGCGTAATGTCTATTGTAACAATAAAGAAATGATATTAATTGCAACAGTGAATTTGTTATTACATTGAACGAACGAGAGAGCGAAAGAAAGGGAGAAAGAGCGAGAGCGAGAGAGAGAAAATAAAAAGAAACAAAAATGTACCATTGCGATCATCAAATGTATTAGTTAATAAATACAATGATCATGAAATTCATTATATTCTGCTTTTCTTCTTATACATAAGATTCATAGAGAAAGGAAAAAAGAGACAAGTTGCACATTGTTCAAATATATATTATTTCTTACGATACAATCAATTGTTTATTGTATATACAAGTTGATTTTAGGAACTGGAACAAACTATAGCTTTGTTGTATGTAAAAGTTCCCAAAACTAATAGAGAAAATTAAATATCATAATAAGGATCATCTTTTCATCATATAAATTCTTTTGTGCACCAGTACAATAATATTTTAGAATTTTTATATACAGATAAGAAGAATTATGTACACATGATAAGAAGATCTCATTTGCGTAAAAAGAATCTAGTGGTTGCACTTGAGAAAACATGCAAATGCATACTTAGTGGCAGTACACTTCTATTGGCAAGTTGGTTTCAATAAATCTGATGACTGTACATTATTGAATTATTAATTTTATTAATATTCCTATTCATACTTTCTTTCAGCTAGAACTTCTTTTATTCTTTTTTCTAAAGTAGGTAACATTTCACAATAATTATCTAAGCATTTTGTTGAACATTTATCCATTTGATCTTTATATATATCCATATCACGCTGTGATGGATTTGGTCCAACTTGATCTTTTATTTTATCATAGCAATCCATAAAACATCTTTGTAATCGATTCTGAAAACATAATACTTATTATACACGACATGGTTTATAATTATTATTACAAATCTTTAAGAATCCAAAATATACCTGCACCCTTTCAAGTTCTCCACCGACGTATTTTTGTGCTCTATCCCATGAATCTGTGCAATTTTCTACACAGTCCTGTAAATGTTGCATGCTATACTTTTCATTATCACAACAATTCGCTGCACATCTATATGCATCACCCTACAATTAAATACATTTTTTCATTATTTCTTTATTTCATGATTTTTGTAAACCATAATATAATTTGTATAAAATGTGACGATAAATTATAACGTTGAAAGCAGCATGTTTTACAATATAACCTGAAAATACAGTGTGGGCTTGAAGTACCTGCATTTTTCTTATTGGTTTATTAATTTCTTCGACTACTTTACTTGTCTGATCTTTGTATCGTTGTTGTTGTTCTTCAAGCATTTTGTATTTAGATCTTTTTAAACTTATTAATTAAATACCCGGCTTCTCACGTAATTATTTACTCTTCAATATCTTACTTACCATTGAAGATAAGGAAGGATGTATATTACCATATACATATTAAATTAATATTTCGCTTTATTCATTAGTTAATTACAAATAACTAAAGCTTGGGTACTGTAAGGAAGCTACAAAACTATATTATTTAGTTTTTCTGTTTGTATTTATGATTTAAATTTTTATTTTAGTATTAAAGTTTTGAACTACGCAACCTTTAATTTCCACCAATGGCAGTTGCCATCTAATTTCGACCAATCAGAATCGTTGCTATAGGTGATGTGCGCAGGTCTGACTTAGTACGTCACTTCCCTTCGCAACTGTCTTGGTCGTGAGTGCACGCGTTTGTGGAAAGTGATAATAAATTGCATTAAAACATTATATTAAATTGTATTCGTGCTATAAAAAGTACGAAAAACAGAAAGAAAAGTTGGAGAGAAGTCAAGCTTCATGATGTCTGACATCGATTCCACGTTGTCTTCAATAATGCGTGAGGTGATATTTTCTACTCTTTCCCCGAATTCAGAATCACATTGACGTAGTATTATTTCAATTGTTTCTTCTCTATATCGACAATTTCTTACTTTGTTTTCTTAATTTACTGTTTCAAACTTTGGAAATTGATTTAGCTTTTTCAACTTAATTAGGTAGAAAAAAATAATCTAGACTTTATTTCAATATGGCGTTGATAATTTTTCACGAACCTTTCCCTTATTTTACTGTTAAAGCTTCGAAGCAATATGAAATTTCTACCAATGGCTATGATTGGTCATCCATTATGGCGTCCTCTCTTTTCGACCAATCAGATCCGTCGGTTACCGAGTGAAGTGTGCAAAGCGTGGCGCAGTGTATCATTGCTCTTCGAAGCTTCGTCCGTTTTGCACGCGTCTGCAACAGGTAAGTTTAAATTATCTTCAAATATTAAATTAAATTGTCTTTCGGGTGTTAGAGGTACAAAAAACAAAAAGAAAAGTCGAAGGAAGCTCTAGATTCTTGATTTTTGGCATTAATTCCGGGTTTTCTTCAATAATACCTGAATTGAAAATTTTTGCTCTTGCCGCGGGTACAGAATGAGGTTGGAATAGCAGAATCTCAATCATTTTCCCTTTTATATCGTTTATTTCTTGAATATTATTACATTTTTCATGTTTTTAATACATTCTTCCAATAATTTGTTATTATAAATTGTAATGATCAATTTCGTCGTTTTTGACTAAGTATTCTGCCCATATAAATACGAATTAAAATAATATTTTCTTCATTTATTCTGCTTTTATAGCGATGATTTATTCAAAATCACTAATATCTTATGTTTTTTCCTACTTTTTTTCTATATCTTGGTGCTTTAGGTTGAAAAAAATAATCGAGATTTTATTTCAATATGGCGTTGATAATTTTTAACGAACCTTTTCCTTATTTTACTGTTAAAGCTTCGAAGCAATATGAAATTTCTACCAATGGCTACGATTGGTCATCCATTATGGCGTCCTCTCTTTTCGACCAATCAGATTCGTCGGTTACAAGTTGAAGTGTGCAGAGTGTGGCGCAGTGCATCATTGCTCTTCGAAGCTTCGTCCGTTTTGCACGCGTCTGCAATAGGTAAGATTAAATTATCTTCAAATATTAAATTAAATTGTCTTTCGGGTGTTAGAGGTACAAAAAACAAAAAGAAAATTCGAAGAAAGGTCTAGATTCTTGATTTTTGGCATTAATTCCGCGTTTGCTTCAATAATACGTGAGTTAAAAATTTTTGCTCTTGCCGCGAATACAGAATAAGGTTGGAATAGCAGAATCTCAATTACTTTCCCTTTTATATCGTTTATTTCTTAAATATTACTGAATGTTTTAGTATCATTTAGTAATTTTACTACTGTTTCCTATAATTTATTGTTTTATTAATGATGTTATTCCTTGTACGTCGTAATATTATGAGATCTGTTCGTCTACCGGCTTCGGTGTCGAACAATACCGAATAGTACCGAACAGTGCCGGTAGTATGTACCCTGAGTTGCATTGAACTTGTCGCAGTGAAGTTGGCTACAAATTCACTGTGACAAGTTCAATGCAACTCAGCGTACATACATAATCGGCACGCGCAGTTCATCTGTTCAAATATTTTAAATAAATTACAGAGTTCGATCATTTGTTAATCATAATTTTATTGCTGTTGGTTAAATTTTATTTATATAAATTTCTCTTTCTTATTTGTTACAGATATTTTATCGATACTGAAAAGGCGCAATGCGATACGACATCATCACACTTCATATTGGTTTGAAACAGAATTTCGTAAAAAATTGGTAAGGTTTTGATTTATTGTAATCAATTAGTAATATTTCTTATTACTTTTTTAAAATTGATTGTTAAATGACTTTTATTGGTTGTTAATTGTAACCATCTTTGATAATTAATTATTGGTACCAAGATCAAGGAAGAAAAGATTTGAGGAACTTTATTTTCTTTGATCAATTAATAGAAAAAGAATAATTAATTTTTCATTTTATTGAATAATTTTAAATAGTAGTTTCATGCATCTGTTGTAAATTAGAACAAAATTGAAACATTTTGTATTTTACTGCAAATAATTCCTTTCTTCTGCAATTATTTAATTATATTTTGATTATTTTAATCAATCTGTTCTTCTTAAATCATAGTAAATGTATTATAACATACAGCTTTCGGTGCAAATTAAAATTAAAATATAATCACGTTATTAAATTACATGTTGTTTAAGTATGATTAATTATATATTGGACTTTGTTTATTGAAAAGGATTAGAGTCTTGAAGAGGAGTCATTACTGAAGAGGAGTCTTGGCAGTTGCTTCGCAAGGAAAGAGTGTAAGTATCTTATTACTTTATTTAATTGCTTTTTATTAAAATAGAATAATTGCTATTGCTAATATTTTATAAAATCCAAATTCATACATAATTTTATTAGAATAAAGATTGATAATTTGCAAAATTAATCGTAATTCTTTTTTGTTTTGTTACAGATGAATTTTTATTATTTTGCCGAGTTCCTGAATATCCTGATGGCTTTCTTCACAACTTCCGTCTTCTTCTATAAGGCAACCTGCTACTTGGCTGTTGGGCATCCTCCTACTCTTGACTGTCGGACGAAGAGTATATCTGCGAACGGTGAGTCGCATGTTTTATGGTTCCTCCAGTGCCCAATCATGTCGTAGGACGAATGGTCCGAATCGACACGGGTTACTGGTTGTATACTTGTTTGGCGAGCATAGTGACCATGGGTATGATTATACATACCCATGAGTAGTAACATTTTTATTGTTTCATTTCATTTAGTTAGGCTAGGTCTTCTTGCACTCCGCGTTTTAATATCATTTCAATTCCACATATTCTAATAGATATTTTTGAAATATATGAATGCTCTTAAATGTTCTTAAATGTTCTTAAATGTGGAATTAGAATTTTTTAATACCGAAACAATTTTATTTAGTTTGTCTGTAATAGAGAAGTCAAATACTTAGTTATTGCGATGGTTCAAAGCAATATAATATCGATAGTATTATGTAATATGTATATTGGATATACATATTAATGATGCTATTACATTGATTTAATTACATTTTGTACATTATAAATTCAAATATAATTTGAGAATTTTTTCCGAGTAGTTTAACTTATTTACACGTTCATGAAAAAATGAACAATTTATGTGCAAGAAGACAATTCGTGACGGGTAGACTTCCAAGTCAGAGTGATCTATTTCAACACATTTTGCGTATTCTTGAAAAGTTACTCTGAGGAGGGAGTCGCCCGAGGATGTTTTAATTTTTTATTAATTTTCACAATATATTCTTTTTTCATTGTAAAGAATTTTGAATTAGTCATTTTGCTTTTAATAAAATATCAAATTCAATTTTGACATTAAATTCCTTTTTATTAGAGTTTTGCCTTTATTAAATTAGTGTTGCGAGAAATTTTCGACGCGAGAGTAAATATGACGATGCACTGACTAGTATTCGGTGGGAATCCTTTTGGTTTTTAAACTCAATCCTATGTATTATTTAATTAATCAAATTAGTTATAAGGATTCCGCGGCATAAGACCGTGAACACCATCTCTGGGAGATATACCCATGCATTACTAGGCCTTTGCAGGCGCAGATTTAGAATGCGGAACATATGAAAATATGTTACCATATTCTAAACTGTAGTCCTTTTGTCTATACTATGGGCGTCCGTCAATCTGACACCGTTGGATGCAACGTGTTGGACGGGCGGGTAGCGTTCTTAGCGAAGGGGTGCACTCTGTCCTGGCGTTACGACGTCCAGGCGGGGTGGGTGGTATGTAGCGTCTGGCGTAAGTCTAGGGGGCGTGAGACCCTTCGTTGCCAGCTGATATTAGCAGTGCACCATGTTTGCGTCATAGTTGCTCAATGTTACTTTTCTGTATTTGTTCTTAAAGCTTTATATTTACAAAGTCGAGTCACTTTTATTAAAATAGTGAAATATTACCCCGTTAGATGTTTATGTACTAATCATGTTTGTAGATCAGGATTTTCAGGTTTAACCCTTTCCGTGTTTATTGCCAAAGCCCATTCACGTGCCCAGGTGCTACTTGGATGGGTAGAGGCAATGGGCACGATGACCTAGTTCATAAGAATAATAATTAATAAGCGGCTGGCATTGTGTTAGTATATCGTGCACGACGTAATTTCCACATATGGTGTGTGTGTTTTTAGGCTGTGGGATTGCGTCGGTTTAATAAGTTTTTCATTTAACTTTTAATTTGAAATAATATTTTATTCAACAAGATGTACAATGAACGTACAAACCAAATAGTATTATTACCATTACTATTACTATTATATATTGCCATTACTATTACCATGATTATTACCATTATTATGAAATATTCTATATCAAAGTAGTTAATTAAATTTTGTAATTATCATTATACGCAATGATTGCTAGCCTTGCCAGACGATTTCAGTGAAAAATGGTACGTACCGTAGAGTGTGATGTGAGATGAAACTCGGGTGACGGAGGCGTCCCGGGACGTTCTCCCTAGTTTAGGCTCTTGCGCCCGGGTGGAGTGTATGGGGGTCGTGGAATGAATTTTTGTGAGAATATGATTTTGCCTTTTTTAAATATAGCGTTAGGTAGGTAGGTAGTATACCTTCTGGTGTGTGTGATAGATTGTAAGTAGGTAGGGCCGGGACAGGTTGTCACAGTCTCTAGGTCGGGTAGGCGCGACTTCGCGTGATCAACCTGTACCTGGAATATATTTGAAGAATTGACGATCCAATCGATACGAACGGAGTATGCCGTTCGCCTTCGATTCTATCTGTACAATTTTTCAAATTTTTGGCGACTTCATAAGTCGTCATACGCGATCGCGATGGCACGAAACGTACAAGTTTTGCTCGAGCACGGCACGTGTGCACGAACAACGACTTATATAAAGTCCTTTTTCGTCCACGTGTCAATTAGAGTTTCGCGATTTTTCTTTTTTGTTGATTGTTTTTTTTTGTTTTGCGAATTTGCAAGTCTCGAGCTTTAGATATAAGTTTCAGGTGGGTGGATCGCCCGAAGAAAGAAGTGGCTATATGCCGAAGCGCCCCGACAAACTGTCTTTCAAGAGGGGAACTACTAATGATTTTGCATCCTTTTGCAAAAAGGGATGGAAAATCATTATCGTTACTACTTTGTCACTGTGCTCGCCTGTAGTTGTAGTTTTGTAATTTCAGGACAAGAGGGGGCCCGTGACCCCCATGATTTTGGGCAAATCGCGTTTTCAATTTAGTGTTGCGAATATTGGTCACGGTTCAATTTAGTGTTGCGTATGCATGATTATCGCGATTTTCATTTAGTGTTGCAAACTTTAAATATCGCGTTTCCCTTGCATTGCTTCAAAATAGAATTTAACTTTCCAATGTTGATTGCTTTAAGATTTTTTAGAGTTTTGCTCTCCGATGTTGATTGCTTTAATGTTGCGAATAAAAAATTCACGGTTTGAGAATCCCCTTATTTTGCATTTTAATTACAAGTCTGTTAAAGATAGCGTTGCGAATGACATTAGCGCGATTGCTTCCCAGTGTTGCGACTTATAAATACGCGATTGCTTTGCATTAGTTTATAGAGTTCCCTATTAATTAGTGTTGCGATAATGAATATTCGCGTTTTGCATTAGAGTTGCGATATATGAAATGATGAAATGCCCAAAAACGATCCAATGGAGCTGCCATGGTCCATAAGGCAGCTATGGACAAGCTGCAGAAGAACAGCCTTGGAATGGCTTTTAGATTAGTGTTGCGTTTTACAAAATTCGGTAGATTTGAGTAGTGTTGCGTTATAGTTCGGGTTTTTTCTTTTCTTTTTTTCAGCTTAGCGTTGCGTATATTGGAGCAGCCTTTACGCGAAAGCCTTTTGTATTATATAATTAATGAAATTAGTGTTGCGAATGAATTCGTGATTGTTATTAAATTTGTCACTTTTTTGCATTTATTAAGTTAGTGTTGCGTTTATTTTCGGTTTGTTTTATAGGGTTTGCTTAGGGATTGCTCTTATGGGCAATCAAACTTTTCTTTTCAGGTTTCTCATTCTTTTATTTTTTTTTTAATTTTGAAAATTTTGAGCATTCGGTTGTTGGAAATAATGTTAAATAATATATGATTTTAATGTTTCCAGAATATTATTAAATACAATAAAGTTTTAAATGGAACTTTATTCAAAGTTTTATTTAAAATGGATATTCATTTTATTTTGTGATAATTGGTGATAAATTATTTCAAGGAATATTTGTTCATTTGAAATAGTTTATTAAATTTTAATTCTACTTTATTTAAACTAAAGTATCGCGATGTTACGTTTCAAGCTTACGGAGAAGCTAATTTTATTGGTACAGAAATTTGCTTTTAATTTATATTGTGTTATTAACAATCGTTTTGATTTTTGTAAAATTTTATTGTTACTAATGTATCTTCTTTCCAGCTGTTAATTTATTTGTCTTTATCTGGATTCAATTAATCAGTTTCTGTTACAGAGAAATATCTTTATAGGAAGTAGGAAGTTAAGGTATTCAATTAACTAAAATGGTGTAAAAATAATTTAAAATTGTACCTAAACCTTTTTAGTTTGTTTCACGAAATATGCTGTTAAGAAAAATCGAACCAGCAAATGTATTACAGGTATTTGTTTATATCCTTTTAGATTTTTATATAGGCGGGTTGTACGTCTATGGTTAAGTCAATATAAGCTTTATTTAATTATGTTAAATTATGTTTAATCTTTTTTAGTTTATTTCAGGAAGTACTGTGGTAAGGATAACCAAATCAACAAATTATACAGACAGGTTGTCAATTAATGATTTGGTAGGATTAGGTAATTGAATAAGTATGTATTTAAGTTTAAACACTGCAGTGTTTAATTAGGAAATTTTAGATTTAAGCAAATGTTTGTCATTATACTAGTATTTATTCTTAGTATTTATGTCTATGCAATTGCATATAAAATATAAAATATGCAATTGCATATTATTAATTACAGATCTGTAATTAAAATTAGGTAGTGAATAAAGATAATGCTCCTTTTGTTGTTCGTTTGCACAACAGTCAAAACGTTTTGCAAATGTGCATCAAGAGGATGATTTTGTTGAATGAAAATAGAAATTTGCATAAATGGAGGGTGGATGGGATGAGGTAGGGCGGGTCTCCAAAACGCGGCAACCTCCTCGTGGTGAGACCTGGGCAATCGTATTATTTGGTGGATAATTAATAAGTGCATCATTATTTTTATGGTAGATTTATTAATCATGCAACAACTAATACGAGCTAATTGGCTGCGAGATTTGTTGTTTGCTTTTCTATTTTATTTCTGTTATACTTTTTCATTAATTTTTGCATTAACTTTAATTAACTTTCATTTCATTTTTACGTTATTATAGTATATTGGGCTAAAAGATTAACAAATCGCCCTAGTTTGTAATTAAAGTGTTGCATATAGAAATTGTTTTTTGCCACTGATGGTAATTTAGTATACTGTAGAATCAATAGTTTATAAAATAGTTCACTTTAATACCGATATCTGGTCAGACCTTTTCTGCAGATACTTATGATGCATTAATTTCATACCGACGCGTAGTCTTGTTCCCTTCTGCAGTTGGTAAAAAGGTTTGCCTTAACACCAACAAGTAATGATGCCATCTTCTCATATAGTTTATTTTTATAGGAAAATAATAATTAGTTTTCATTTATAAAAATACTTTTATACGTTAGAGTATTGTACAATGTTTTCTTGTTTACGACGTTTGATTAATAAAAAACAATGTTCAACGATTGTTACTTTGTAACAAAACTTTTAATATTGGTTTCTGAAAGAGAATACTTCTGAGGTTCGTTGCTTATCCTTCTACCTTGAAGTCAACTACAAACTTGTACAGAAACACTGACTGATTATCATCGAGAGTAAAAACGAATGTTTAATGTTCTTTTCAAATAGCACAGGTGAATCAAAGAAGCGTTATCGATCACTTTGCAGTGTAATAGTTCGTCTTGACGAAAGGCATTTTTGTGACGGTAGCTTTGTAAGTTTTCCCACGAACTTCGACCAATACTCCATGACCGCATTGAGATAGTTCCGTAGGAACGTACCCCATAGCGATAGAGCGTCCAAGGGTTGGACTAGGGCCACCGGATGTGATCTTACCTACCCGTTCACCTTCCGGTGTTAATATACACGCACCCTCTCTAGCTGGCGGTCCGTGTACTATCGTCAATCCTACTCGTTTTTTACTAGGGCTCGATTTGATCTGCGACAGTATTCTCTGAGCACCTGGAAAGTTTGCCTCTGCTCTTCTTCTCTTGGCTAGAAATAGAAATATTTCTATTAATCATTGAATTTTTAATTATAAAGCAATAATGGAGGTTTTGTACCGACCTACTAGCCAAGTAAGACTAGCCTCGACTGGAGTTGTATTTTCATCGATATCGTGTCCATAGAGGCAAAGGCCTGCTTCTAGTCTACAAACATTGGTAATAATTGTTAATTGCGAACAGATTAAACACTCGTAAATAATTTACCTTAAACTATCTCTGGCCCCTAGACCGGCCAGTTTCGTGTCAGACGTTGCTAAGATCGTTTCCACCAGTTGAGGTGCAATTTCAGACGGCATAGAGATCTCAAAACCATCTTCACCAGTGTATCCACATCGAGTTATTCTGATTTCATTCCCTAACAGTTCGGTCTCTACGCTGTTCATGAATTTCAAGTAACTCAAATTGATTTTTAATATAGACTGTAGAACCGATGCTGCGGTAGGTCCTTGCAATGCAACTAAACTCTGTTCCTCGGGATCTAAGAACTCTAGGTGCACTGATTTCTTTTGGGCTCTGAATTCTTTCTGAAAATGACATCGGATAGTTGTAGAAAATGAAATTCGTCATATTTCTTTCAACTCACTGGGAAAGTTTACCTGTCGTTGAAACAGTAAATTAGAATCTTCTGCCCGTCTTCCGGCATTTGATACCACGAAGTACGTGCTCTCGTCGTCTTTCGTGATGATCAGATCGTCGAGGATGCCCCCGTTTTCGTTTGTGAACACCGTAAGAACCGCGCAACCGTTCTTCAGGTTCTTCAGATCGCTGGTAGTTAGGGATTCTAAGAAATCGGTGGCGTCGCGACCGGAAACTCGTGTCTGCATCATGTGACTGACGTCGAAAAGCGACGCGAACGTTCTCGTGTGTTGATGCGATGCAGCTATCGCTTCTTGATACTGGACTGGTAACAACCAACCCGAGAAATCGACCATTTTACCTGAAAAAGATACGATTGACAGATCCTGTCAGCGTGGAAAGTAATTTCTCGATTCTTACCTCGATTTTTCACGTGAAAATCGTACAGACTAGTTTTCCTTGGCTCAGGCGCCTGCGTGGTCGTCGACAAACGACGGCATTCGGTTCCGTTTGCTTTCAAATCGATCAAACATCTCGAACGGCACTTTGGGACGGCGTGTTTCGCGCTGGTCCTCGAGATCGCAGCGAAATTAGACGATTCCCGTATGCCTCCTATCGTCTCGAAACATTTCTCGATATTGTCCAAGCAAATTGGCTGGCCGCGTACACCGAAACGAAGCATCGTTCTTTCTTGGTACCGGTATCTCGTGTACTGAGAAGAATGCCGGTCGAAGCAGAAATGGTGCTTACCACGATGACCCCGTTGACACGAGGCATATTTCAGACTCGGATTCGGTAATCAGCCGTTGTGTTCGTGACGCAAATACGATTTTATAATTTGTTCGATGAACACAGGCTATTATTATTTCGATAAGTACACGATACGTTATGAAATACGCGTATGCATGTCGGTTATTTCGAATCTATTACTTCAGTAATCAATGATGGAAGAGATGAGGAGTAGAAAGAGAAATTTTCTGGAAATTGCTTTGCGTCCACGAATTATGTAAATTCTTCGACGTGCTCTTTTTCACGTTTCCCCGAAACTCGAGATATTTTTTTGAGCCGCGTTTGTTTACTGGTGCGCTCCTGATTGTTGTTCGAGAAACGTTGCCCAAGCATCTGGTGTACTATTATAGATGTTGTAACGTAGGAACGATAAAGGAAGGCCTCGCGATAAATTGATATTTTCTCTCATGATACCGGGCCACCAATAACAGTTATCGTTATTTTCGCGCGTAAGAGAGGTCAGCGTGGTATTAAAGTCGGAAACGATAAGAGCAAATAGAACACCGTTGGAGTATCTGTAGCATATGTTCGCGATAGGAAGGGAGATGGTGATAGTCACAAGACCTGTACACGTCGAATGCTTATTAAATTTTTATTGTACCACGTAATAATAATAATAATTAATAATAATAATAATAATCATAATAATAATAATGACAATAGTAATAATCGCAATAATCATCATCGCAATAATAAATTGTGATAATAATGTCAATAATAAAATGTTAATAATAATAATAATAATCATTCGTCATAATAATAATAATAGCAATAGTTTCATAATAATAATAATGACAATTCATCGTCGTCGGTAATAATCCAATGACAAATGTCAATAGTCATATAGTAGCGTGTCGAACGGAGAAACGACCTTAAAAAACGAAGACAGTATCAATTGTTCGTTCATACATTTTTTTTTTTTTCTTTTAGCTTCCGTCGTCTTATTCTTCTCGCTCGCGCTTTTTCTTTTTTTTTTTCTTTTAGTCTCTTCTTTACCTCTCGCTCTCGCTCTTCCACACGCGCATTCTCTCTCGCCTTTTTTTTTCGACTTCTTTCTCTCACACACACGCACACTTTCTCCCTCTGTCTCGTGTTTACACAATTGATGCAAAATGTCCCTACACAGTCCGACGAATGTGTGTGTGTGTACGTTTTTCCGATCGATCGATTTTTTTCTTCCTCCGGGTCGTAGATCGTTTGCTCGACGCTTTCTCTATGATATTATTATTATACCCTTTTTTTTGTTTTTTAAATATTTTGCATTTTCCGCCACATCCTCTTTGAAATCCGCTATTTTTCCTTGTAGCACGTGTTGACACATTCACTCACATTGGTTAATCGGTTCGCTAGTGGAGGGACTATAAAGGGGGTGGCTGTGGATTTGGAAGTTGACAGGTGGGTGTGCCGTTGGTGGTTGAGGAGTGTGGAGAAGGGTGGGTGCGGGTGCAGGTGAATAACGACGTATGGTAAGGATTCGGGAGAAGGATCGAAGGAAAGAATTAATTAAAAGGAAAATGGATATGACGCGGTGAAAACAGAAGGCTCTATATTACATGTTGCCCCCTCCGGTCAACGGACCTATTTCTATTTTTCTTTTTTCTTTTTTTTTCACTTTGACGTTTGTTTGATTTGGCGACCAACGTTTGCTTTATCCTATTTTTGACCGAATCTTTTCCAAGGATTTTTTTTATCTGATTAATGTTCTCCGAAACCGTCCGAAATTCGTCGACCGAGGGACATTTTCCGCGGTGCCGAGAGCGTCGAAAATCGATAACAGTCGCCTACGATCGCGCGAGTCGGAAACCGAAGTTCGATCTGGATTTCCGCGATTTCGTCGCGCTCGTCTAACGCGATTCTCTATCGAATTCCGTTCTTTATCTCTCACTGCCCGAGCTATTTATTCTTTTTCTTTTTTTTCTTTTCTTTTTCGTCTCCGTCGCCTCTCCTCCTCTGCTCGTCCTGGAACGCGACAATGCGCCCTTTCGCGGTTTCGAATCGTATTTGTTCAGTGGTTCCACTTCTGGTTGGGTGAAAAAAGGTTGAAATGAAAACCGGGGGATGTTTCTTAACGAGCATTTGGGATTTCGTCGGAAATGGAAGTTTGATCGGGCGACATTGTCACGAACGAGGAAGCACATCGCGTACGCGTTCGCGTTTTTGCATTTGATGTACGTATGCGTGCGTACATACATACATATATGTATATCTTTATATATAGATATATTATATAACATTCGTTTGTATCATCGGCTATTTTATTATTTTTATTTATCTCTGCTTTTGATGGTCGTACGAAAAGAAACCAAGGATCTGAGTCGTTTGTCTTTTGCATTTACGAAAATTCTCTATGTGTATCGGAAACAAAGAAATCATTCCAGTGAACCCAAACTCTATTGCCTGCTATTGTTGCTTCTATTATGCGTTTGTGTCGAAACGGATGTTTGTTTGATTTTTTCGTCGCATGTGCTCTCTACCTTTCTTCCTCTGTTCTTTCTTTTTTTTCCTTCCTTTCCAATGGCCGAAAAGTTATCGTTTTGTTTCATTATCTTTTTGCTCATTTTCGCTCGAGGGGAGGGGGACTTTTGTTACCTGCCGACAATTACAGTGTGCAATCACCGTAGAAAAAAAAATTTTTTCTCGCAACTCTTTCATTCTCTCTTTTTCTCTCGCTTTCTCTCTCTTTCTCTCACTATTCGCGCTCCCTATATACTTCGAGTTCGATAATTTCGTCTAAAATTCCATTTTCGCCTTAACTATACACAATAATCATAATATATAATAATAATAATAATCATAATAATCACGACTCGAATACATCATCGATCACCTCCGAATATAGATACAATAATTTTTTTTTTCTTCTTCATCATCATCTCTCTTCAACTTCTCCCGCCCTTTCTTTCTTTCTCTCGCGTTACATCTTCACAATAATGATCGTTTAGGTCGTCGTATATCTATACATATACATATACATATACATATACATATATATATATATAATTTATAAAATGAAAATAGGTACAATTTTGGACGCTTTTCTTTGTCGAAAAAACGCTCCGAAAATTTTATTTTCGCTTAATAATGCCCATCGGTTGCGATTCTAGTCCACTTGGTAGTAAAATTTTGTTTAGTTTTTCACACGCTCTCATTCGTGCTCGTTTTCTCTTTAACTTCCTTACTCTTTCTCCCTCTCTTTCACTCTTTCATTTGATTTATACCAAATTATCACACGTTCCGTTTTTCATTCTTTCTCTTCCATTTGCTCGATATATCTGCACGCTTCTCTCACGTATCACATATTCACATTTTCTCGTAATTTTAATATTCAACACACTCGGATCGTACACCTTTCATTCAAAATTTTAGCGATAATCGCTGTCGCGATACATCAGCCTTTTTTTGCCTTTAACATCGAAAAGACATGAAATTTTCGGCTGGCCAATCGCGTGCTTCCAGAATCGACGAGCTTCCAACGGCGCTCGCAACCAGAACAAAATTTTCACCGGAAATACGCGCTTAATTTTCTACTCTACCTCACGTTATAGTATATTTACAGTCGTTCGATTGCATTTCGTCAAGTTTCTTCTTCGACAACTCGAACGGCTTTAATTCTGACTCGGCTCGCGTACAAACTCGTCCAAACAAAAGCTTCAAGACTTCGCTAAACAACAATCTTCTTTATTTTAGTTTTGTCATCGGGACGTGTTTCTCCGCGCGGAAAGAATTTCGTTCCGCGCTTCGTTTGGACGATCGGTTTCGCGACTTTGATTTCCAGAAACGGGGATTATTTTTTCACACGAAACCGACCCTGTCTCGAGGAACTTTCGTTGAAACGAACCGGTACGCTTTTTACAGGAAGCCCGAAACACTTTTCATACATAACATATGGTTGCTTTTTTCTTCCTTTCGCGATTACACTATTATTTGCAAAACATTTGATTTTGCAGTGTTCAATGGTATCTACTTGCAAGTATCTGAAACACTGCTTGCGCTGTCCTTTTTCAAAGGATATACGTTCTCTTACTTCTAGACAGTTGAAAATAATTTATATCGTTTTGATATGTCTAATTAAGATTCGGCAGCCCTGTTTCAAAGTGGCCTGAGTTACTGGTCGCTCGAACAACCGGAAGATTAAATTTAAGCGTTTTCGCGTGCTTTCGAGCGGCGATTGTGAAATATTATCTGGATATAATCGTGTTTGGGGCAGACGCTCCGACGAAACAGAGCTCCCTTGGAGTACAAACGATAGTTGGAAGAAATTTTCATGAAAAAATTTTGAACAAGCTTTTCCGACGAAACAACCGCAACCTTCTCGCGACGAAAAAAATGCTATGAGAAGCGTGAATCGAGGGAAAAGCTTCTCCAAGAACATTTCCTTTTTCCGGTATACACGGTTTCAACTTTGTTCTCCCTAATTTCCGATACCAAAAGTAGTTAATCGCATCGAACACTGCCCACCATGGTCGCAAAGGGTTGACGCTGGTGGCACGGTAAGAGTTTGAAAATTTCGATTTGTTCTTCCGCGTGTGCCCGGAAGTGGTTCCGTCGCACGGAAGCACTCGTTGACGAACGTAACGATGATGAAAAGAATAAAAAAACGCCTTTGTTGTTGGATCCTAGACTGTTGTTGTATTTTGAATAGACTTACGCAAAAAAGGCTCTCGCGATTTCTAAAATTCTTTAGATTGTTCATTTCATCGTTTCTCGCAATCATCGAAAACGTTGCTCTTTCTCCTAGATATTGCATCACATGTATATCATCATACATAGAACCATTTAATGAGAAATCCTACACAATGCGGAACTTGCTCGTAACCGAAAGAGACTGCTGAATTATCGTTTCGTTATATTTTTCTCTCGCTATCTCTCTATTTCTCGCTCTATATATATTTATATTTCTCACATTGCTTCTTTTCAGGATTGTTTACCAGCTTGTTTTTCCCATTTTATTTTATTTTTTTTTT